AAAAACCCCCAAAACACCTGTGGTCTCCTCTGTGAGGCAGGAAGGTGCTGAGAGGTGACCCCTCTGCCTTCCCAGCCTGTCCCCCCCAGTCCTGCCCTCCTCTGGAACTCAGCCCCTAGCCCTGCCCGGCCACTCTCACCTGAGCCGGTCCTCGTCCAGGATATCTACGATGTCACTGCGGTCATTAACGGTGCGTACATACTGGCTGAGCAGCTCCTGCTCCCGCTGCTGGTCCTGGAGTGACTTCAGACCCTCTGTGGGGACAGCCCGCCATCAGGGAGGCGTCCCCACCCCGCCCAGGGAGGCGACTGTTCCACTGTCCACTCCTGTGCGGGGAGCGTGCCTGGGTAGCGGCCCTTTGCAATGGGCCTGGCCGGGGGGAGCGGACTCAGCCTCAGTGCCGGGGCCTCCGGTCTCCACTGTGACTCGGTCCCTGTCCTGGGGCAAGGACGGCCACTAGAGCCTGCCCAGCGCTGCACTCAGTGCCCTCAGACACGAGGGGTCCTCGCTTGAGAGCATGAAGCCCAGGCTCAGAGAGGTTAAGGGACTTGGCTGAGGACACACAGCCGGGAAGGAGAGGCTCTGAAACTCAAGGCCAGGCCTGCCTGGGTGCTCGGCACTCCAGGCTCTCCGTGGTGACCGCTTCGGGTGGCCAAGGCCGCCACCCCCACACCAGCCCTGGGAGGACGGAAGCTCTCGGGCCGGCTTTCTGGAGGGGAGAGGCCGGCACCCACCAGGCTTGGCCATCAGCTGGCGAAGCTCGCTCTCCAGGTCCAGCTGCTGCTCCTCCAGGTGCTGGTCCTTGGACCTGGGGGACACACAGGGCTGAGACGGGGCTGACCGGGGCTCCGCCCCAGCCCGCCGGGCGGGACCCTCACCTGTACATCAGCTCCGACTCCAGCCTCAGCAGCTGCTGCTTCTCGTGGATGAGCCGGAACCAGTCCACCATGAGGTCATCCTCTGTGGCATCTGTGGAGAGCGGCCGCTGGAGGCAGGGAGGCTGCACACGGGGCCTCCGCACCCACCCAGGGCAGAGGTGCAGGCCTGGGTCTCGGCCCGAGGCCACGGGCGTCCCCAGGGGAAGCTGCTGATGGCCAGGGCACTCAGGAGTGCTGACCTAGCCCAGGGTGACCTGGGGGACACCCTGCGGCCGCAGGGGTCGTGACCAGCCTGTGGCCTGAAGGAGACGTAGCGAAAGGAGGAGGTCACCCTGCAGCTAGTGGCGGGGGACGGGGCAGCTGGCCAGGGCCGCCCACCTCCCTCGGCTGCCCGCAGCCGCCTCTCCAGCTCCACGCCGCGGAGCTCCAGCGCGTCCAGCTGCGTCTCGATGGTCTGCACCTGTCTCTGGATCTCCTCCTCGGGGATGTAGTCGGGGTGCAGCTGGGTGGGGACAGACGGTGACAATGGGCACAAAGGCCACGGGCCAGCCTCGCCCACCACCCAGCCTACTCACCTTGACGGGGGAGGTCACTGTCTCAGAAGCAGGGGTGCTGGCCAGGCCCACGGGCCTCCCTGGAGAGGGGACAGCAGGCCCAGTGAGACCCGGACGTGCCCAGAGAGGTCTGACCCAGGACTGCTGGCCCACCCAGCCCCACCCAGCCCACAGGCAGCTGGGCAGCCCTGCTGGTACCAAAGGACACCCTGGGGGACCCTGACCCACTTTCCATTCGGTCAGCAGCTCCACACACCCCACTGAAGCACCCCAGCCACCCCAGGCCCTCAGGCCACCAGGAGGGATCCTGTATTGTCACAGGCCTCTGTGACAAGGTGCAGGATGTCTGTCCAGTGCTCCCACTTTCCACGAGGAAAATCTGGGGCCTTTCCTCCACTCTAGAACCAACGAACTCCTCTACATCCTGCAAAGCCCAATGGATGTCTCCTCCTCGGAGGAAGTCCGTCCATCCACACCCCAAAAGGGCATCTCTGGGGCTGACCTGGTGCGCCCTGGGAACATGGCTTCTCCTCCTTCCAGCCCTGGGCTCCGGCGTTCCGCCCCGAGGGCTCCGGCCGGAGCCAGTCGGCAGAAACATCGAGGCTGGGCGGGACAGCCAGCTTCCTGCGGCGGGATGGGGACGGAGAGGGGGCTGCCAGCAAGGAGGGTGGGGCGGGGGAGTCAGAGCCGGGTGTCAGACCAGAGCCCCCGCCAGGACCCAGGGCCCCCCAGCCAGCATCACCACCCCCTGGTGCCCCCACAGGCACAGGGTGGCCACACACACACCCATCCCACCCACACTGGTCACGTCCACCCAGGCCGGGCAGCAGCCACCAGGCCACAGGACCAGTGCCGCTGAAGGCAGAGGAAGTGATGTGAGAGGTGGACGCAGGGCAGGACCTCATGTGCACGTGTGCAGCCCGCGTCCTCCCGTTGGTCCCTGCCCCTCCCCCACACCCGAGTGTCACACGTTGGCACCGTCCCCGACCCCCCGTGATGCACCACCTGTGAGGCTGGGTCCAGGACCGGCTGGGCCTGGTGTCCTCCCGGGCTGCACAGGTGTCAGGGTGATGTGGACACCCCCCTCGGAGCTGCCCGGGACCTTCTTGGGGAAGTCCTCCACCCTTGGCTCTGGCAGGACCCGCGGCTCCTTCAGCTCCAGAACCCTGGTCAGAAGTCACGAGGTCAGCACTGGCCTGGACACAGGACCCTGGAGCATGTCCCAAAGCTGTGGCCAGCAGCCAAGGGAAGCAGGGGGCCAGCAGAAAAGGCACCTGGCACATCCCATGTGACGCATGACGCCCAGCTCAGGGGCCTGACCTCTTTGGACCCCCCAGGGCATACAGGTGTGCTGGCCTGCACCTGCTCACCCGTGAGGCCACCAGCACACCATGGCCACGTGCTCAGGTGTTGGCAGGTGACAAGGACTGGGACCGTGCACCTGCCTGTGAGCCGCTGCGCAGAGCCGTGGGTGAGCACCAGCAGCCATTGGCTGTCCCCTGTCACTGGGTGGTGTGACTACCTTTGCTAGGGACAACTGGACGCACATGTGACCACGACATGTCAGTCGGCCTCCGTGTGCATTTACTAAGCTCCTGCTGTATACCAGGCCCCAGCGGGCTCAGCTCGCAGACGCACAGCACAGGTGACTCACAGGAGCTGCCTGCCCCTCACCTGTCCACGGGGCCTTTCCTGTCCACGGGCTTCAGGCGGGCCCTCCAGCCTTCCGGCCCCTCCGCCTGGCTGTCCTGGGAGCCAGCACCTGGGCCTGGACGATACGGGGGGTGCAGTTTAGGGGTCGCCTGTAGCACCCCTTCCTCACCCCCAGTAGAAATCTCAGGCCCCAAGGTTAGAATGTGGGGTCCAGGGTCCTTCAGGAAGGGCCCAGCCCAGGGACGGTGGACCTCAGACCCAGACAGGGCCATCGTGAGCATTGGACAGCAGAGCTGGTGCCCGGCACCCCCAAGACACAGCTGAGGACAGAGGCCACAGAGGGCTGAGCTGCAGGCACCGGGCGAGGAAAAAATATCCACTGGATGGCAGGCCTTGTGACCCTGGGGACACTGGCCACCACCACATACAGAATGAGCAAGGACACAGGGGAGGCCACAAGCAAGTGTCCAGAGGATGGGGGGACCAGAAGCTGGACTGCAGGACAGCAGGTGCCAGGGAGAAGCACGGCCTGGCACAGGTGACACGGAGGGTGGAGCAGCCGACCCTGGGGAGCCCCGCACCCGCCACCCCATGTCAGCGGCTCTTACCCTTCGCCCTCGGGGCCTCTGGCTTCAGCCTGGGGCCAGCACTTGTCCTTCCGGCCTCCGAGGACCCAGCCAAGCTCCTCCCGCCCACCTGGGGTGATGAGGACGCCCGCGAGGTGCTGCCCACACTCGGGGAGGCCTGCGGCTCTGTCCTTGAAGAGGGGCTGAGGGGGGTCACCAAATGTGACAACCTGGCTGGCGAAGCTGTTTGTGGGCTATCATTTTTGGGGTGGGAATTGAGGGCAGAAGTGGCTGGGCCGGGCCTGTGGGTGAGAGAGCAGGCGTCAGGCAAGGGGGGATCCCGGAGCCCCTCTCAGCTCCGCCAACCCCAGGCAGCAGCCCCACAAGCTGGTTCTCAGTGTCCCCCCTCTGGACGGAGGAGAGTCCCCCGCAGAGAGGGGCAGGCCACAGACACCTATGCGTGACTCTTGCACGTGTTGGTGGCTGATTTTAAATACAATCACGTTGACCAAGATGAAAATATCCCCAACGGGTCAAGGCCCAGATGCACCAAGGACGCCGGGGACTGGCCCAGGCCTGCCTCGTGCGGTCCTAAGCGACTTGTCAGGCAGGAGGACCTGGTACACTGGCCGGCTTGGGGCCACCTGTGTTCCCTCAGGCGCACGGCCCTGCAGGAAGCAAGGCTGGGACACTACAGGCGGCGCCCCACGCCAGGAGCTCTGCCCTGTGTGTCGTGTCCCTGCAGGGGTGGCACTGACTCACTTTCCTCCCTGGGCACTGGTGGAGGGCAGGGTCACTGCTTGGAGCCATCAGCACCCCAACCCTCAAGAAAAGACAGCTCACGGCAGCAAACTGGGGGGCTGAGCAGCCTGGGACAGAACCCCTTCCTTACTGGCTGGGCAGCTGTGCCCGACCGGCCAGGGTCCCTAAAATTCATGTCCACTGGGAAGCTCTGAGTGTGACCTTATTTGGAAAAGGGATGTTTGCACATGAGACCGTGTTGAGGGGAAACACGTGGGAGTAAGGTGGCACTGGCCCTGACCCAAAGACGGTGTCCTTCTGAGACAGAAGAGGCAGGTGCGGGGGAGGCCAGGTGACAATGGAGCCATGCAGCCAGTAGCCAGGGGACACCCAGAGCCTCCAGCAGCTGGAGGAGACCTGAAGGAGCCTCCCAGGAGCCCTGGGGGGAACCTGGCCAGCGTCACCGTGGCGTCGGCCTCCTGGCTGCCAGGACTAGAGGACACATTGGTGCTGTTGAAACCTGCGAGTGCCGCACGGGCCCCTGACGCAGTGACCGTCCCCCTCTGGCCTGCAGCATTTGCTCGGTGTCTAGAGGACGCCACTGCACGGGGCACAAGGGGAGGCTCACAGCCCAGCCCGGGTCAGATGACACAGCCAGGGTGGCGTCAAAACCCACTTCCTCATCTGAAGACGGCCTCAGGGCCCCGGGCACCTCTCACCTGACCGCCATGCCCTGTGTCTGTCTCTTTCTTCTCATTTCCCAGTCAAGGAAGGGCGGCCCCCACAGGACGGTCACAGGTCCCCAGGGTCCCAGGGTCGCGGAAAGCCTCTTGGAGGCCCCAGTGAGGTGGTGGACAGGTAGTGGCCCCACCCCAAGCCCTCTTCCACCTACCTGCCAGGTGCCTGGGCACCCGTGTCCCCCGGCCCCGGTAGGGCCTTCCTGAGGACGCTCAGGGCCCGCTGCTTGCTGCTGTCCTGCGAAGGGGCACCGGCCATGGCGGGGACCTTGCTGGCTGGGCCACTGCTGAGCAGGGCCGGGGTCTGGAAGAACTTCTCCCGGTCATGCTGGGTCTTGGAGGCCATGGGGGTCCAGGCCACTGTACCCAGAGCTGCCACACCTGAAGCCGGCTTGGTCTGAGCCGCCACCCTTCCAGGAGCTGCTGGACCTTGGGGTGTCCCTGGCGGAGGGTCCAGGGCGCTTGGGGTTCCAGCAGGACGGGGGCTGACGGCTGCTTTGCCCTGGGTGGGTGATGACCATCCCGTTGGGGAGCTGTTGGTCACATGAGAGCTGACCTTGCCAACTCCAGAGGAGGCCACTCGGCTCGTGGGCCCCGCTGGACTCCTCCCGTGGACTTGGGAGGAGCTGGTGGCCGGTGGATCAAGGACGGTCTGTGCAAAACCTTTGGCTGTCGTGTTGCCCACCGCTGGACTGGCCCTTGGTGCTGCCTCCCTCAGCCCATTCGTCTCCTGGGCCTTCCGTGGGGCACCGGGAGACCTGGAGTCCACAGGGACGGCCCCTGGCGACCTGGAGTCCACAGGGAAAGTCCCTGGTGGCCTGGAGGACAACTTGGGGCTCGCAGAGGTGGCTCCAGGGTGGTGGCGAGTGCAGACAAAGACGCCTGGCTCTCCCGTGGCCCGGTAGGCACCTGAGTGCAAGGTGTTGGAGCACTGCCTACACCTGCCGGAGAAGGTCACGAGAGGCGGTGGCTTGCGTCCCTCGTCCCTCGCTCATCCACCTGCTCACTCATTCACACTCTCCTGGGAGCACAAAGTGACCTTCTCCTGTGTCTAGCTGTGTGGTCACTGATTCATCAACAAACCTCTGCTCATGGTTGTGATCATTGTGAGCCACCATTGAGAACCTTGTTAGGGGCGTGGACACCCCACAAAGTGCTCACAGACGTCGGTCACTCACACATCACCCCGTGCCTCATTTGAGGGCCCCGCCCAGCCCTTCCTCCACAGAAGAACAGTGGGCTTCCCTGAGTCCCCAGCCCAGGAGCTGTGGGGCGGCAGGGAGGGGGTCACAGTAAAAACCCCACAGGGAGACCTGAGAGGCAGAGGAGGAAGCTGAGTCAGGGGTGGCTGGAAGGCCAGCAGGAAGGGGTCCCTGAGGGCCACAGGAGGCCATTAGGGCAGGCTGGGTGTCTGGGTCAGTCGGGCCTCTCGGGCCTGGGCAGTGGGAGGCTGAGGAGGAGGATTGGCGCCCAGGGGCGCTGTGCCCTACCTGAAGCAGCTGCGGTGGTACAGCTGCCCGTCGGCCAGGTGTCGCTGGACGAGGTGCACGTGCTTACCGCAGACCCCGCAGGTGCTGCTGACCGAGCCGCTTGGCCCCGCAAGGGCCTGTGGGAGATGCCGGGGCTGCGTGTCTACCCGGCTCCCGCCCGCAGCCGTCCAGGGGCAGCCAGATCCCATTTTACAGAGGGGACGGATGAGGCCCCGGGGCAGGCAGAACTCCATGACCAGGGCCTCTAGCCTGGCCTGGGGAGGTGGCCGGAGACCAGGATGGACCCAGTGCCTTCTGTTTCCTCCCTGACCCCCGCCGATGCCTGGAGGCCTTGTCTCGCTCTGGCTCCCTGGAGCCTGGAGTGACCGGCTAGGAAGAGCAGGGGACGCCCAAGCACAAGTAGCCGCCCTCTCCCCTCCCCGTTCACCCCTGAGGAATTGACCGGTCCCATGTCCCCATCGCTGGGGAAGGAGGCAGGCATGCCGTGAGCCCTACAAAGTCTAGGTTCCAGCTCCCTTGGTTCCACTGCATGGTCCTCCCATGCCTCGGTTTCCCCATCCATGCAATGGGAATCGCAGAATTGGAGGAGCCCAGGGAGCCAGCCCAGTGGGCACCTGATAACAGAGTAGGGGACGGGCTGCACCCCAGGGGAAGCCTGGTTTAGGGGTGCACACGGTCAGCCAGGGAAAACCAGGAAAGCAGACTGCTTACAGCCTTTGTGGCTGGGTCCTCCCAGCCCCGGTCCTTCATCTGGACGATGGGGTTTGTCCTGGCTGGAGACAGCGGTGGCCCCCGGGCGGGGGCAGGCGAGGGCAGCGGGGCCGGCTGGGGCGGGGCCTTCTTTCCAGAAGGTTCCTCACTGGAGTCCGTTGGGGGCCTCTTCACGCCGGCAATGCCCCCGACTGGCACGAGACATATTGGGGTCGGTGGGGGGGGTCCCACCAGCCTGTACCCCAGTTCTCTAAGGGCCGGGATCCCCCTCCCCGGAGGTCCTCCTGGGACATTTGCCGGGGTGCAGGGCGGGAGGCCACCCTCGCCCCGTCTCCTCCCTGCTGAGAGCCCGTCCAGGGTCAGGGAAGGCCACAGGCCTGGCCCCAGGCCCGGGGCGATTCTGGGGATTTCTAAAGTCTGTGGAAGAGGAATGTGGGTGGGAGGCGGGCGGCTCCACACACGGGGTGGGATGAAGGCCAGGCCTGCCTGTCCCTGTCCACCCCTCCTGGGCCGGCAGCTGCCACAGGACCCCCGGTCAGGCCCAGAAGCACCAGGCCCGTGAGCTGCACAGCGTCGGGGAGCCCCTCGAACAGTGGGCCTGAAGCTCGGGGGTCAGCGGGCAAACCGAGGCCTGGAGGTCAGGGGTTCTGAGCAGCCAAGGGCTGGGCACAAGGCACGGGGCCAGCGGGGCCAGCTGGAGGGACAGCAGGGCAGCACTCACTGGGCGAGCGGCCGTGGAAGTAGTTGTAATATTGGGACACATAGGTCAGAATGCTCAGTCGGTCAGGCACCTTCAGAGCCACCATGTCCTCAGCGTCCAGCAAGGCGGGGATGCCCAGCTGCTCCTCGGCCACGCGGAAGGCCTGGGGACAGTGAGGGACAGGCCGGGAGAGTCCTCCTGCTTGGCCCCCAGCCCACCGGAAGGAGGGTCAAAGGGAGGACAGGCTCAGCCCAGAGAGCCAGCCCTGCCAGGGTGGCGGCCTGGCTGGGTTTGCCCATCTGCAGGGTCACTGAGGTTGCTCAGGGGAGCCAGGCCTGAGGCCCTGTGGTCATCCTGGCCTCAGGGGGCGTCCTGCCCACAAACACGTCACGCTGGGCATGGCCTGAGCTGCCCCACAGCTCCGCCGACACCAAACCTTACAGAACCAGGTAAGTTCGTCTGTGGGGCGGCCAAAGCCGGCCAGACGCACAGCCTCCCCACGGCCCAGAGGGGACTCGAGTCACGACAGTTAGTGGGTGAGACCAAGAAAGGGACGTGATACCCTGAGCTGGGGAGGGCCAGAAAGCTGCACTTACAGAGCACTGACTGTATACAGGGCCCCCGGGGGCTCCAACCACTGGCGATGGCCTGGCCCTCTCCACTCACCTCGCTCCTTTCTGGGCCCCTGGGGCGCTCACCGAAGCCCTGGCCACGGTGGCAGATGGCTCCCACCTACATGGACCAGTGCCAAACCACCACACATGGCTGCAGAAAGCCTCCGTGAGATACGCGGGCATCACTAAGTGTGGGGCCAGGACCTTCTGGGGTGTCCCATGCCTGGTCCTTCACTGCCCTCTGCCTTTAGTGACCATCCCCAGCTTTTGCTGACTTGCAGACCTCTGTCCCCAGCCTCGCTCACTCACCCTTGGCCCCCCTCAGGCCAGAAGGCCTTGCACCTCCTCTGAGGCCCAGAATCCAGCCCTTCCCGTGGCCAGTGCCATGGTCCAGGCGTCCCCTCCGCCACCAAGCTCTGTCCCCTGCCCCTCCTTTCTCTCACAGAGCCCAGGAAGCAGGAGGCTCCCAGCCCAGGCCTCCTAGGGGTCCTCACCGCCCACCCGTGGGCTCCCTGTGGCCTCAGGACCTTTGCCTGTCCCCTCTACCGGGGAGGCCTTCCTGCAGACATCCACAGGCCCCTCAGAGGGTCTTCCCTACGCCGCGGGCCACACAGTGCTTTTCCCCTCTCACAGCGTCTCCCTGCACAGACGGGGCCGGCAGCCACCAGCCACGCGTAGCTATGGGCCTCTGAAACATGGCCGGCCTGTGGACGTGACTTTTTAATTGAGTTTCTCTTTAATTAAGTTGTGGACGGAGCTCGCCCTGGCCAGGCAGGTTTAACTGTCTGGAGCCTGCAGTCCCCATCCCCCCGCAGGCCAGTGCCAGGGGCCTGTGGTGGCCCTGCCTGGCTTGGAGCCCGGATCGATGGCCTGAGAAGAGAATTTTTCTTTCCATGCACCCCCACAAGCCATTTTGCAGCAGGGAAACTGAGTCTGGCACGGGAAGGATCTCCCAGCTGGGGCATGCAGGGTCAGGGTTGGAATGTGAGGGGCCAGGTATGCCAGTCTTCAGGGAGCAAGGCGGTGCTGGCCCACCCAGGCCCAATGGGGCCTGCTTTCCCAAGCCTCCTGGTCTGGGCCAGGCCGGGCCAGGCCACCCTCGGGAAAGGAGGTCCCCTGGTGAGTCTCTGACCCGTTACTGCCCCACAGAGGAAGAGAGAGGACCGGGGCTCCAAGGATGCTGGGGCTGCTGGGTGTGGTGATGCATTTCATGCCTGTAATCCCAGCCATAGGGTAGACAGAGATCTGGAGGATGGTGATTCAAGGCCAGTTTAGGCAAAAAGTTAGCGAGACCCCATCTCAATAAAACAAGCCAGGTGGTTCATGCCTGTAATCCCAGATACACAGGAGGATCACAGTCCAAAGCTAGCCCAGGCAAACATGGGAGATCCTTCATTTTGCAAACGAGAAGCAAAAAAGGGTGGGGAGGGCATGAGTGCCAAGCCTGGAGTTCAAACCCCAGTACTGAAAACAGAAAACTCAAGGGTCACCCAGCTCAGGCCCGGTCGTGGAGCTGGGTGAGGTCAGGCTCTGCGCAGTGCTCGGTGGTCCTTGGACCTGAGTCAGGGCTCCAGGCAGACGGCTGGGCCAGCTTTAGGGCTGGAGGACAGGACGGTGGGTGTCGGGCAGAAAACTCACCAGCTTGTTGTTCTCAAAAATGTTCTCCTTCCGGAGAGCACCGAAGTTTCTGGAAGAGAGAAACGCCGGTGTCGAAAGCGAGGCCTCCGAGGCCATCTTGCCCCAAGGGGAGCCGGAGACCTGGAGCAGGGCTGAGGATGAACAAGCCCTCTGGCCAGCGCGGGCCTGACTCCTGGTCTGCTCTGCCCACAGCGATGTGCCCAGCAGGAGACATGCCCAGAGAGGGCCAGCCACCAGCCCGGGCCAGCCCAGCCAGGACACCGCTCAGAGTAGCCTGCGTCCTAGGGGAAGCCAATGTTTCTGGAGAAGGACACTGTGGGTGGACATGGGGACGTGCTGCCCACGTCAGCTGTCCTGTCGCTAGCTTTTAATTTCACAGAACCTCCGAGGAGGAGTGTGGCTGTCAGCTCTTCACAAACGCCGTCCAGTGGGGTGGACACTGGTCATGCCTGTCTGCTTCTCACACAGAGAAAACTGAGGCACAGAGAGGCTGAGGGTCAGCCCAGGTCACACAGCAGGAGGCAAAGCCAGGCTTACTGGGTGGCATTACTCAGTGCCCACCACGTGTCCTGTCTCGTCCCAGGAAGGGTCAGACCCTCAGACATGAGGCCATTAGCGCCTCCCTTACGTGACTCAGGGTGCAGGAAGTCCCCTCAGGTGAAATCCCAGGCTGCCTGGACAGCACAGCCTTGGAGGAACCAAGGACACAGCTGTGTCCAAGCCCGGCTGGCCCGGGACTCCATGCACAGACAACACACCCCAGCATGGACCCAGCATGGGGGTGTCCCTGTCACAGCAGCCAGGGCACCAGCAGGTGGGCCCCATGCCACCCACAGGACAAAAGTCACCGGTCTGAGCCCGGGCTCACACACGGGGGGGAGCCGGTTAAACTTCGACCCAGCCGCCCGTCCAGTGTCATCTGTGGTCCTGAGCCCAGCGAACTGGGTTGTCCTGGAAGCTTCCTGGCACAGAGGAGGGGGCTCCAGGCAAGACCCCGGCCAGCCCCTGCTTGCTCTGGCCTCAGTTTCCCTGCCCGTGAGGACTTTTCAGCATTGGTTTTGTTTTGCCAGGCCACCAGGCAAGCGCTCTACCTCTGAGCTGTGACCCCAGTCCCGGTGCTGGACGAATGGCCGTGCCGAGCACACAGGAAGGCTGAGCAGCCTTCTTCAAGTAAATACAGGAGGGTGCCAGATGTCTGTGGCCACCTGGCTGGGCTGGCCACGCTCCAAGCCCAGTCCACCAGCTCCAGGAGGACCCCCAGAGGCCCAGGCTGCGAGCCCATTTTACAGATGAACACATGGTGGGGTGGGAGCTGAGATCCGCCTCCCCACGTTGGCCTCCAGCCCAGTTGTCCACCAATCTGCTCAGCTCTAAAAGAGACCTCCAGGGCTTCTGGCGGGGACGACCTCCCAGGTAACGCGACCCAGCTGCAGAGAACACCCGTGAGCAAGGGCACGTCTGTGCACGTGACAGACGCAGACAGACCGAGGACAGTAGGGAAGGGTGGGTTTGGCACCCTCAAGCCCAGGTGGCCTCCGTCCAGCTGAGTGGGCACTGTCCGCCTGGGTCTGTCCCCAGATGCAGCGTGGCCCAGGCTAGTACATGGTGGCCAGGCTGTGCCCAAACACCCCATGGTTCTTCCCCCACGCTGAGCCTCGGGGATGCAGGGACCCCCTCTCCCCTTCCCAACACCCATCCCCTCGAAGGTGCAGCCGTTCTCGCCCACCCCCAGGTCACTGACCTAAGTGGCCGGCTGGGTGGGTAAACAAGGTCTGCTTTGTATCCAAACAAAGCAGGGAGGCTATCTGCCTCCTGCATTTGCCTCCATCAAACGAGGGGCCCAGCTGCTCCCTGTCACCCCAGAGCGGGCACCCCAAAGCTCCAGGAGATCGGGGCACCCAGAACCTTCCCAACTCCCCATCATGGTAGTAGCATCTGAGCAGGAACCATGCAGCTCAGGTTGGGCCACCAGCTGTCAGGACCAACGCCAAGCTGCTTCCTTGGGCCTGTGAAGTCGTCACCACCGGCCAGGACAACCCTGGTTTGTCCCTTGACCACCACACCTCTCCGGCACTGGCCCCATTCTCCTATCCCCTGCTCAGCCTGACTCACTGGCCTGGCCCACCCTGGGGACACTAAGGTCCCCAAGTGGAAACTTGTCCTCCTTTGTCTCGCCGAGACCTCGGTCACCCCGCTCTGCATGGGGCACACAGTGGGCAGTGCCTAGTCCCCAAGCAGCTGAACCCTGAGCCAGGGCCGGTGGAAGTCACCGGTAGAGCTGCCTTGCAAGTGTGGACTGGGCTGCCGGGTGGGGACGCACGCATCTCTCCGGGAAGTCCTCTGCGCCCAGCTTTCTGTCAGGCTGGCGGGAGGACCCTGCATTCTGGGCTAAGTGTCGCTTTGGGGGAGCCCAAACCCCCAGGACCACCAAACAGGCCTGTACTTGAGACAAGGTCTTTGCAGATACGAGGGAGCGATTGTGAGGTCCCTGGGTGGCCCTGATGCAGGTGCCTGTGTCCTCATACAAAGGGGACGCTTGGGCACAGAGGACAGGGGGTGTGAGGACTCAGGAGATGACAGTCATCCACGAGCCCCGGAAGAGGTGGGAACAAGTTCTCCAGCAGCCTCAGAGGGGCTTGATCTTGGACCTCCAGCCTCCGGGACCTGGAGAAAGCAATTTCTGTTCAAGTCGCCTCCGTTGTTACCAGCAGCCCAAGCTGACTCGCTGACTCGCTGACCATGGGTGAGGTGGCCACCTTGCCTTTAGGGGCTCACAGACAAAAACCGCTTCAGCGTCACGTGACCAGATGTCACCTGTGAGCGGCGGGTACAGAGAAGTATAAGGGCCAGCTCCCAGCCCCGTGCACCCTCAGCTGCCAACCCGGCCACCCAAGGGCCTGGGATCCAGGCCACCCTCCCAAGTTAGGTCATTTTTACTTGAATTCTCATCACTTAAAGTCAGGTCAGGCGTAGGGGTGTATGCCTGCAATCCCAGCTACTCTGGAGATGGAGGTAGGAGAATCTTGAGTTCAAGGCCGACCCATGCAAAAGTTAGTGAGACCCTATCTGACAAAAACTAAAGTAAAAAAATAAGGGCTGGGGATGTGACGTAAGTGGTGGAGTGCGCCCCAAATTCAATTCTGATTAATGAAAAAAAAATATACATATACATCAAGTGCGTTTGGCTACAGCCTCAGGGCATCCACCCCAGTCCCAGGTACACAGCTGGCGCTTCATTCGTGCTCATCGACTTCATTCCTGCAAGGCTTACTGACCAGTCACTTATCCTTTCAATATCAGCTCAATGAATGACTTCAGTCCTGCCGTGGTGCATCGGCCAGCTCTGCCAGTGCCCAGCCTGAGGCAAGACCGGCCAGGCCACCGCCGGCCCCTCTGCCTGGCTCCCACCCACCCACAGGCCCCGTGGAATGTGCCCTTCAGCTGTGGGGGGAGCCGGCCTCCTGCCCCAGCACCCCCGGGGGCTCTTGGGAATGTCTCCCCACCCCACAGCCAAATCCCCAGATGGCTGACCTCACGTTCTTTATTTCCCGGAATAAAATGCAGCCGTGCCGGGGGTGAGCGCTGGGCTGCGAAGGGGGGCATCCCGGGCCGAGGGTGCTTTCCAGCACATCTGGAGTTAATCCCACCAGGAAGGGGGCAGAGAGGGGGCAGGGATCCCGGAGAGACACCAAGACAAATGGCACAGGCTCGGGAGGGGCGGGCAGGGCACGGGTCAGAGCAGACGGGGGTCTGGGAACCAGGCAGGGACAGGGCCTGGGCCTCTGGGGATCAGTGCCCAGCTGGCTGTCCCCGTGAGTGACAGCAGCCCCCTCCGGGCATCCTGGAAGGAGGCAGCAAGGATCTGGGCAGCAGGCCCTCAGGCCAGGGAACAGAAGGCCTCTGTCCCCAGCAGTTTCCTGCTGACCACAGCCTGTGTGGGAGGGAGGGGAGGTTAGCGGCCTTGCCTGGCCCCAGGGACACAACACTTCTCCCAGCTCCTGGATGCGATCCCATGTCATTCCCACTGGTCCTCAACAATGGGCCAGTCTGGAGCCTGGAGAGCCCCGGGGAGTCCTGTCAGGGGCCACCTTGGCTGCCCACTGCTCCTGGCCTCAGCCTGACACAGGCTCCAGTGTGTGAAGGAGGACTGACGAAGTTCGGGCCACCTCATCATGGGATGGGGGAGAGAACCCCAGCTTCACAACGGCGTCCCCCTAGCCCCCCACAAGTCCTACAAAAGGCCCCAGCCTTGGTCCCCAGAGGAGATGTGCAGGATCGCCCTGCCTACTGGTGTTGTGCAGTGCACGACACCTGCCTCCGTCCCGCATCCCGCTGCATGCTCCCTGCCTACCTACTGCCCCCAGGGGAGGGTCACTGCAGCAGCCACTCGGCCCGGCCCGACAGGGCTGCGGGAGGGCGGGTTGTTGTGCTGGGCGGTTCTGAGCGCACCTGGCAGCGGCTGAGCTCACCGCGGAAATGGACCATGGCCTGCACCCTGGAAAACCTCCCGCAGCAAACCCACAGCTCTGCGCCCCTGAACTGGGGCAGGCTGAGGCCCGCCGGGAGGGACTGAGATCCCTGGTCACCTCTCAGCGGGTGACGCCTGTGAGCCTGTTCCCTGCACTGCAAGCAGAGCCTTCCGGGCCACAGCACACGTGAGCATCAAACCTGGAGCCCGGGCCCCACCTGGCTGGCTCAGCGCCCAGACTTCACAGCTGCTCCCCACTAAAGGCCACAGGAAACATGCTCAGCGTGCAGCAGGAAGGTCTGAGGTCAGACACAAGGAAGGACTTCCTGGTGGCAAAGCTGAGACAAGAGACAGGATGTCCACCTTCCTGCTGCCACAGGGTCTTCAGGGAAGGAGAGGATGGTGTGCTGAGGGCCTGGGTTCCTCCAGGCCAAGGTCTGACCTCAGCCACTCCACGCCTGTCTTTCACAGGTCTCCTCCCTTCCTGGTGGCTCCTGGGACTTCCCAGGGAGACACCCTTGCCAGCCATCACCTGGCCCAGGGCACGGCAGGCCCAAACAGGAACTCAGGCTGGGGACATTTAAGGCTCAGACACAGAGGACAGGGGTCCTCTGCTCCAGCACCCCCGTCACACTCTGGTGTCTGGTCAGCCAATATCTACCAAGCTGGGGGCTTCACACACAGGAATTTGCACCCTCGGCATCCCAGAAGCCGGGAGTCCAACATGGAGATGTGGCAGGGCAGCCCTCTGCAGGCCTCCAGGATTCCCTTGGCTCGCAGCCCCATCTCTGCTTCCAGGGTCATGTGGTCTCCTTTCCACTGCACATAGGCACCTAACCGAGCTCCTACCACCTCTACTGAACCCCAGCTGAATGCCCTTCTCGGTGGAGCTGCAGATATCCATCTAGCAGTGTATAAAAGACAGCTGACAGTCCAGCTGGGACAGAGGGCAAGTCAGAAGTACATAAGATAACTGCATCCCACGTAGAGCCGCAGGCAGGCCTCCTCCTCTACCCGCCTTCCTGTGGTGGCCTCTCTGTTCCCTGGAGTCACGATGAAGTTGATCACTTATGGGCTCAGTGTCCATCTCTGGGACAACGTGTTGCTCCCTGGACTTGGGGGCCAAGGTGATCTACGGTATACAGGCGGCACTCAGTAACTGTCAGTCAAATAAAGGCATGTATGACACCTGCTTGAGCCAGCACGTGTGCGCACACGGGTCCACGCCTAGGTTTCCCCGTGTAAAGTGCGTGCCGGGCCAGGCACTCACGCGCCCCTGGCCTCTGCCCCCACAAGCTGGGAGCAGATGGAAGCTCTCCAGGGCCGGAAAACCTCAAAGGTCCAGTCACAGCCACCGAAGACAGCTGGGCCACCAGACTCCTGCACCATCCTTCCCCTGCACTTGAAGACTTGTCACGGTGGTCCCTTGTGGGCTGCCTGGGCTCGGTCACCAGCCAGCCTCACCCTGGACTCTGAGAACCCGGTGGAGCTCAGCCACCATCTTCTCAATCCCAGTCTCCAAGTCCCTGGCTCCTTGCCCTTCCAAGTGTGCACTTCCCATGGTGGCAAACTGTGCTCACACCTTCTGCCTCCTCCAGGAACCACGGGGCACAGGCCTGGGCGGGAAGCAGAGGCAGCTGCCCAAATGCCACAGGGAAACTCTCAGGCAACTCCACCACGGTGACATTTCACAACCCTGAGGGCAGGAGCTGAAACGCCTTGCTCAAGACTCCAGCTTCCCAGGCAGAGTGGAGCAGGGTACAGGAAAGAGCCAAATGCAACCATGGCTGAGCCCAACGTACCGTGTGACCGCAACTAGGGCCCCTCTGTTTGGGGCTCGGCTCCCATGTTTGCACAGCCAGGAACCTGACTGAGGCTGGCTCCAGACACTGTTGCCTCTGACCTCACCTAGCCAGACACACCCAGAGATGTCCCTGGCAAACACATCTCCAGCTTAGCCCTGACCCCAGCCACTACCCAGAAGGTACCTAGGCTCCAGGTGGCTTTGGGAGAACCTCCTTCTTGAGCTTGCTTGTCCCAGCAAGCCAATTTCCACGCCATTCAGCCAAAGAGAGTTTGCTGAGTGAACAACTGATGGAAGAGTCAAGCTTGGGCTCCCATTCCCTGTCTGCCTCCTGCAGCTCCAGGAACAGGGTCAGGTCGCCATCGTCCCCTATCACCCTAAGGTGCAGAGGGTCCAGGAGGACCCAGCCCTGGGCTGCATTCCCCATGGTGCTAGGGGGAGGGCAGTACCCACACCAGCAGCCTCAAGTGACCCCATCTTGGGGCTGGACCACAGAACAGTACAGAGTCTCAGAGGCCCCAGAGGGACAGTGTTGTAGCAACTTCCCAGGGACAGGGGGACAGCGGGTGCTGAGCCCGAGCCCAGGAAGCTGCCCTGAGTCACCCCTAAGCCGCGGGAGGCCGGGGGCGGTCCATGTCCTGGCCCTGGCCCCCGGCCAGCTGCACTTGGTGGACAGCACACTGAGGTCACGGCCGCAGCCTGGGGGTTCGGGGTGGGCTGTGGCTGCTGGACCCTGCCCTGCCCGGTCCGGGTGGGGCCGGGCTCCAGGCCTGGTCCTCAGTTTCCCCCTCTAAGTGGACACCGCGTGGCCAGGCGGAAGGGTCACTCACATGAGGTCGGGTCGGTGGCGGTGCAGGATAGCACAGAAGGCCAGGCCATCGCGGAACGACGTGGTCATGTTGGTGATGCTCACGTCCCGGTAGCCCTCGCACTGCTGCCGGCACCATTCCTGCAGCGCTTTGATGGCCGCCATGTGTGCAGCGGGGCAATCGGGGCGATCCCGACACCGGCTCGATCCTGCTCGGCCCACTCCGAGGGCTGGAAGAACACGGACGGACGGACGCGAGGACCGACCGACGCGCGGACCCGCAGACCTGCCGGGTAGAGCGCGAGCGACAAGCCAGCCGCCGCCGCCAGACCCGGAGGCCGCCGGGCCACCGCTGGCCCCGCCCCCTGAAGGCCCGGCCCCAAGCCACGCCCCCAAACCCACCAAGGGTCGGCATAGGATCCTGCTTCACTCGTCCCGCCCCCTCTTCGGTCAGACCACGCCCACCTAGCCTCCACCGGCCCAAGCCCCAGAAGGCCCCGCCTCCGTCAAGCCACGCCCCCATACCCCCAAGCCTTGGCATAGGTTTCTGCTCGGGCCGTCCCACTCCGGCCACGCCCACCGGGCCGCCGCCGGCCCTGCCCCCATAAGGCCCCGCCTCCCTTCGTCCTGGTCCCAGGACTGGGGAAAGGGGCGGGGCCTCGGGGCGGGGCTGCTCCCGCGTCGGGATCCAGCCACAGCTCCCTGCAGAGGCGGCGGGGTTTTCTTTCTTTTCTGCGCCCCACCTCCCATCTCCATGGAGAAGTAGAAGAAAGGGCGTGTTGCCAAATGGGGAAACTGAGGCTGGAGCGGACGCAGCCTCCTGGGGAGCGGGAGGTGCCTTGTTTTCAAGGTGTTCCAAGCACTTCCCGCTTTCGTGTCTCCTCGCTGGGGTGCATTGCCCGCAGGCGGGAGCAGCCTTTGCTGCTCGGAGGAGGAAACTGAGGCGGGGCAGGGCTGGGGAATCCCCAGGGGTTTCCTCCCCTTGGCGTCTGGGGGAAGCTGCTCCCCTGCTTCCTCCCACTTTGAGTGAGGGGAGTGGTCAGGGACAGCACCTCTGCCAGACCTGGGATCCTTGTCATGGTCACACGCACTGGACTAAGGCACCGAGCCGGCCTCCAGGGCTTTGCTCGGCTGGGCCCTCAGGAAGAAGTCTTTACCTGGTTGGGACCCCTCGAGGACAGCCAGGTGGCTTCTGGGCTTGCTGAAAGCCCAGGAGCACAAAAGTCTCCTAACCCCCAGCCATCTGGGCCCTGAATAAGGCCTGGGTGTGGACGGCCAGCTGCCCAGCAGTGCAGGGCCGTGGTGGGTAGTCAGCCACCGTCCCCAAGGATCATGCAAGCTGGACAGGGAGTTCCCCAAGACCTGGGATGGTCACCCTGACCCCTCACCTTGCCAGGGGCTTCCTTCAAGGGGACAAAGTGTGAAATCATGCCAGCTCAGTTACAGTTGGTCCTGAAACCAGGTTTTCCTGACCCTCGGGCAGCAGCGGCCACAGAACCGGAAAAGCTGGCAAGAAAGGGAAAGCTCAAGAAGCGAGTGAGTCAGGGGACGACACCAGGTGGACGGACATGGGACAGAGTGGGAGGTGGCTGACCCTGAACTCAGTGGCCATAGTTGCACCCAGCAGGGAAACCTATCACACAAGTCACCATGTGGCCAGCCCCAGAGCCTTCCCTAGCCACACTGGCTTGAGGCAGCCTTTGTGGAGGTCCCCTGGGGCCACCAAAGATGTCCCAACCAACACCTCACAGGACATTCTTTCCAGGTCCCCTCAAGCCAGGAGCCAGGACACCCCTGATCCTCCCACCCTGCCCTGCACGGCTGCCCCTGCCACAGTGCCAGCCTCCTGAGGCCACCCTGCCCTCCGGCCCAGGGGATCTTTCTGGCAGGCAGTTTGCCCAGGCTGTCCTGTGAATAAAGTCCAGGCCCCTTTATCAGGCCCTGCCAGGCCCTGTTTATTGTGGCCTCTCCCTAGCCACACCCTGCCACGCTCTGTTCCAGCCTTTGCCACAAGGCTGCCTGCACTGGACACCCCTCCTCCAAGACATGACTCCGCAGCCCTCAGGGCCACTGATGGACACCTGTGGACCACCCTGCTCCTCCCCAGCACCCCATGTCCCCATCTGGCCTCAACCCTCCTTCTAGGGCTGCCTTGTGAACACTGTGTCCTGTTCCTCCACCATCAGACATGGAGCCTCTGCCACCAGCTCCTCCACCACGACAGAGCCTGTGCTGAGGATGGAAGTTATAACAAGTGGCCTGGTGGCACTGGGTCCTCTTCTGCCCACCCCCCAGGGCACCATCTTCTCTCCACTGCACTATTCCCAGCACTGAGTGCAAATTCTGACCCAGGGGCTCCATGACAAATCTCATCCCTACCCCATCCCCTCCGCCCAGACAGCTACTTGGCTCCTGTGCTCACCGGTGACAATCTCTGTGGCCGGGAGAGGTCGGGTGTCAGGGAAAAGGCCCAGAAAGTTCAGCCCAGAGTCACTGCCCAACTCTGAGACCTTCCTGACCGCCTTCACGTCAGCTCCGCTCCTCGTCTGTGAAGGCGGTGACAGGACCCTGCCCAAGGGTCCCCACAGCCTCCCACACAGGAGGCACTCGGCAAATGCAGAGCGGTGGGCTCACACTCGAACCTGTGTGGGTCGCAGCCCCGAGGCTGGGGTGCAGCTCCACACCCCAGACCCCTTAAAAGTCTGCTGAGTCCAGCCTGAGACCAACAGAGAGACAGAGACAGAGAGACAGACACAGAGCAGCACAGAAATGAGAGACGAGGAGAGAGACACAGAGACAGAGAGCAGATACAGACAGGAAGAGCAAGACAAAGGAAGTTTGCTGGGAAGTCATTAAATTTTCTTCACGAGCAAAGTGGTTCTTATCTGAGGTAGAAAATTCACAAAGGCAAAAGAAGAAAATGAAATCTCCCTCCATGTGCCCTCCCCACACACGGGGCTGCTGGCTATGCCTGACAAAAATGTTAAATATAAAAATGAAGACTTATGCGGGCACCAGCGGCTACACCTGTAATCCCAGCTACTCGGGACGCAAAGATCTGGAGGATCTTGGTTTGAAGCCAGCCTTGGGCAAACAGTTCATGAGCCCCTATCTCAGAAAAAAAAAAAATCACAAAAAAGGACTGTTGGAGTAGCTCAAGGTGAAGGCCTTGAGTTCAAACCCCAGTGTCACTAAATACATACATTAACTACTTTAATTAAAATTAAAATGAAGACTTGGGAAATTGAGGCAGGAGGACCACAAGCTCAAGGCCAGTCTGGACTACATAGCAAAACTGTATCTCAAAAACAAAAAAAAAAACCCAAAAAACCAGGCACTGGTGGCTCACATCTGTAATCCCAGCCACTTGGGAGGCTGACATCAGGAGGATCGAGGTTCAAGGCCAGCCTGGACAAAAAGTTTTCAAGACCCCATCTCCAAAATAAGCAGAGCAAAATGGACTGGCGGTGTGGCTCAAGTGGTAGAGCTCCTGCTTGCAAGCCCAAAGCCCTGAGTTCAAACCCCAGTCCCACCAAAAAATAAAGACACAGAAGAGACGCCTGCCTCCTTCTGAGGTGTCCACAGCAAACGTCTCATGCATCCCTTGGGGTCTCTCAGCACCTGCGCCTTTCCATTTTTGCAAGATGTGCCCCCTCCTTGGGTGACCCAGCCCTTTGGGGGCATGGCTCCTATGGGCCAGAGGAGGACAGGGCACAGCTGGCTCCATCCGGGTAGCAGGGGGAGCCCTGGGGAGCAATGCAGATGGGATGAGAGGGAGGAGCACCTGGGGTGGACAATGCCCTGTTCGGAATACAGGAGGGGAGGCAGAGCTCAGATTCCCACCACAACCCCACAGGCAATGTCCTTCAAGATGTCCCTGCACCCCCCCCCCCCAGGGCTGCTTATATAGCCAGGAGAGGGGGCGTGGCAAGGGTGTGTGCACCAATCATGGCGAAGGACTTTGGCCAATCACAGCAGCCCTCATGCAAATGAAGGACCGTGTTTGCACCAATCACAGCCCTTCTGCTGGGCCCCCGGGGCAAGTGCGCCCCCTCTGGCCTTGGGCGGAAGTGGCCATTGCTTTCCTGAGGCTCTCCCTCCTCCCCAACCCTCACTCAGCTCCACACACGCAGCTGGCTGAGTCTCAGCCCTCTGCAGACCCCGCTGCCCACAGGCTGCATGGACATGGTCACCTCGCTCCCTCCAGGGCCAGGACCCCAGAGCCTGGGCAACTGCCCTACCCTGCACCTCCTCCTGCTCACTCTCCCCCATCACCCTCCTGTCTGTCCCACTCAGCTTGGAGACAGGGACGCCCTCCTGGACCCGTGCTGGCCACACTTGAGCCCTGTCCCCTCGGGGGACCACTCCCTCTGAGACAGAACAGAGGGACCCAGCTCTCCCTGGGGCGCTGGGGCAGGAGTTAAGCACTGCTAAACACTGCTGAATCACTGAGGATGTCAAGAAAAGGCTTTGTCGTAAGCACTCTTCTTTTAATGTTTAGTTTTCTTTTAAATAAGCTGAGATGCTCCCGGGCTGTGACTCCCTGATTGACAGCTGTTGACACCTTCCCTGGTGCCCCGCCTCCAGTGGAGGACCAAGCAGCTGTCTGGACTGTCCTCAGGGCTGCCTGGCTTTTTAAAACACTCTTTGGACGCCTTCAGGAGGAAGCCACACTGCTCCAGAAAGCTGTCTAGCCATGACTGTTTCGAGCAGCTGGCGCTGGACTTTGCCATCTCAAGCCTGGGAGAAATCTGATGACCCTGCAACCGCTTCCACCCAGGGCCAGAGGGGGCGCACTTGCCCCGGGGGCCCAGCAGAAGGGCTGTGATTGGTGCAAACACGGTCCTTCATTTGCACGAGGGCTGCTGTGATTGGCCAAAGTCCTTCGCCATGATTGGTGCAAACACGGCCCTTCATTTGCATGAAGGACTGTGCCACGATTGGTGCACACACCCTTGCCACGCCCCCTCTCCTGGCTATATAAGCAGGCTGTTTGGCTCACTTTAAGCAGGCAGTGTGGCCTGTGCTGCGCTGTGCTGTTGCAAAATCAGCCCTGGTAACAGGGCTTGTCTCAAGTGGTCTCCTGTCTACTTTTGATCTTTGTTGGAGCAGGTCAAGCTGGTGAGATGACAGCAGCAGCAATGAGAGGCAGATGAAGGATAAAATTGAAAAGTGGGGGAGGGGAGGCAGGGACAGCGGAAGGCAGTAGAGAGGAGAGACGTGGCTGGATAAAGACAGACAGATGGCAGTAGAGAACCAGGGACGAGAAACCGCAGGTTCTGATCCGGTTATTGGAAGAGCTCCTTTTGCTGCCAGGCCTTGAGGGCCAGAGACCCGGTCAGGAGCCGTCACACCAGCAGGTGCCATCACTGCGGCCACCTCTCCCTGCTGCTGGGACTGAGGATCACAGTGGCTGCCAAGTGCCAGGGCTGCTGGTGGTCAAAGCCCAGGCGATGGGCCTCCAGCCTGGGGACGCAGAGCCCCAGCCTCTGGCTTCTAAGGCTGGGAGCAATGGCCCCTGGCTCTTAGGGCCTGGACGGGGACCACCAGCACTGGGAGAGCTTCCGGTCACCCACTCAGGATTTGTGTCCAGGTGAGCAAGGGGACCCCGGCCAGCTGACTGGCCACACCTCATCTCACAGACAAGTTTCTGCCTTCCATCTTAGTCAAGCAGGAAGTTCCCACAAGACCCAAGAACAGCTGTCTGCATCCACTGTCCCCAAACCTTGTCTGTCCTGGAGCCTGTGCCACACAGGTTCCCACCCCACCACGCCACACCTCTGACGCCAAAGTCACCCTGTGTCCTCTGCCAGGCCCACAGTGCAAAGCCTGACTTTGGCCATCTTGTCTGTGGTCCCTTCCTTGGCCACCTCCAGGACCAAGTTCATGTTCTGGCTGACAAATCCCAAGTGTTCACCTCTGGCCTGTTCCTGAAGTGGGCTCGCGGACCCAGCGCCTGCCTCCCCGATGCCTCCAGCCAGGCAACTGAGTTCCACATCCCCCAAACTGAACTCCGGGCCCCACCCCACCCCACCCCACCCCACCCCAGCTCAGAATCACCCACCAACAGCCCAGCAAGCCGAGGCCACTTGGTCCTGCTGGACAAAGCTGGACAAGCTGGGCTCCTTGCCTACCCTCCTCTTGTGGACCAAGTCCAATCCAGCCATAAGCCCTTTTGGATTTGACCTTCAGAATGTGACCTGAGACTGTCCTCTGCTCACCACCCCATGGAACCGGGTTTATGCCCTCTTTACCAGCCTGGATTTCTATAGGAAGCTTCTAAGGAGGTCATTCTTGTGCCTGACCCCTCTGTCCACCTTTAACAGTGGGTGTGAGGTCACCCCGGCTCAGTCCCTACTGTTTCCATCCCACTCACCATCAGAGCAAGGGCTCACGACATCCCACTCCATCCCCTTTGTGACCTTCCCTCCTCCGGCCTCAGGACCTTTGCACTCGCTGGGGTTTTTTTGCCAGACTGGAAACCTCTCCTCTTGGATGTCTGACTGTCTTGTTCCCTTGTGGTCTTTAGTTATTTACTCAAGTATCACCTTCTCCCTGAACCCTTTCCCTACCAACCCACTTACACAACCCCAAATTCCCACCCCTGCCTCCCTTCACACTGCTCACCCCTTGACAGCCCCTGGAGGTCGGGGCGTCGACTGTCAGTTCCCTGCTGTGTCCCCAGCCCGCACCCAAGCTCAAGTATGCAGTAGGTGCTCTGTAAATGCTTGCAGAATGAGGGAATCCCCAGGACGACTTTGGATCTTTTTCCTCCTCCCTGGCTAGAGTGGGTCTGCTGGCCCCGTGGTAAAATTAAGAGCAAGACCTAGACGGCGGAGGGGTGCAACGCCCCAAATCCAGACAGCAAGCTGGCCACGACCCCCCGCCCCACGAGGGGTGGCCGTGCCACTGGGATTTGGAGCCTGCGGGCTGAAGTCGAATCCTGACCCTGACCTAGTGCCCCAGGGGACATGTGGTGCATGAAAACAGGGCGTGAGTACGGCCATCTTAGTCCAGAAGCTGGGAATGACTTCCCAGGAAGGGGACATCAGAACTGAGACCAGACGGACACGGAGAGGCCTCAGGAGGAGGAAGGCGCAGGGGGGCAGCCGTGCAAAGGCCCTGTGACAAGAATGACTGAAGGGGACAGGAGGCTGGGGATGGTGACCCGTTCATGACCCGTTTCTCATTGTGACTGAGGAAACTGAGGCTTCAAGGGCAGCAGAGCCCTCGAATCAGCCAGGCAGGAGCCACGGCCCTGACACACGGAGAGGGCCAGGGAGCAGTGCGTCCACCTGACATCCTGTCCTAGTGGCCACTCCGGCTGGGCCAGGACTTCCCAGTCAGCCTGTTTCCTCCCACCTCTCAAAGACGGCACAGGGAGGGGGGGACCCCAACCCACAGGCTCAGCGACAGACAGAACTGGGGACCAGGGAGGGGCAGGACCCTCTCTAAATGAGCGATGCTCATTTCAATCCAAAATCAGCTCTGAGCCAGGTGCCGGCGGCTCACGCCTGTAATCCCTTCTACTTGGGAGGCTGAGATTGGGAGGATCCCAGTTTGAGGCCCGCCAGGGGAAATAGTTCGGGAGACCCTGTCTCCAAAACAACCAGAGCAAAATGGGCTGGAGGAGCCGCTCAAGTGCCCGCTCTGCAAGTGTGAAGCCCTGAGGTCAACACGACAGCCACGGCCACCCAAGATGGGCGCAGGGGAAAGAGGGGACACCAAGATGGCGGAAGCAGAGGGGGTACAGCCAAATATCCAACAGAGGTGACTGCTCAGAGCCTTGGTGTCCTGACGCACTGTGACCCTGAGCAAGTGCCACGCCACACGGTGCCTTCCAAACTGACCCACCCACGGGTCCCCCTTGCATGGCTGGAGGTCACACCAGCCTCGAAGCTGAGTGTCCATGGGACGTCCGCCATCCCCAAGGCCATAGTCAGTCAACCAACGGTTCACGGCCACCCCGTCTTAAGGCCCCCGCTAATCACTGAGGCCCCGCGCACGATGCCCACGGCCAGCACGCGGTGGACAGTGCTCCTCTCCCCGCACGCACGGGTGACTTGCGGCCTGCCCCTCCCCGGGCCTCGGGAGACGCCGGCCGGCGCGGCCCCGGTTTACATTTCATTATGAGCGGCTTCGCAGACACCGCTGACTCGCACATTCGTCTGCTCCATTATTAATGGCTTCCCGAGCAGCACCAGCCCCGCGTCGCGCACGAGGCGTCATAAATATTTGATCCAGCGGTTCTGGTCCGGCATTCATCATTTATAACGGGTTACAAAAACACTATGAAACATTTACCAACACTTATGGATCATTTTCAGCTACCACGATGTGTGATAAATACACGATTAACCCTCCTCACGCCACTTAAAGAAGTCCCCTCGTCCTGGGGCCCGGCCCTCCGAGCGCACGGGGAGTGGACGAGGAGGTCACCAAGCGGCAGGGCCCCGGATGCCCGTTCTGCTGCTCTGGTTGCTGTGTGTCCTCGGGCGGATGGCCGCACCTCTCTGTTCAGGTGCTGGGCGCGTTGCATTCTGGGTGTCGGTCGTGGACCTCCCGGCCTCAGACTCGTTCTCTATGGTCTCTCTACTGAGGCCCAGACAGGCTGTGTGCGAGGCCACAGCCAGGGACAGGTGAACTAGGGACCTCCAAGGTCATCCGCCCACTCATCCACCATGGCCTTACCTGGCCACCCTGACACCTCTCTGGCTGATGCTCCGTGACCTGTCGGTTCTGGGTCCCCTGCATGGTGTGACCAGGGGTGAGATGGCCCTGGAGGTCCCCCGCAAAGCCTCCAGAACCTATGTCCCCGGGAGTCTGGACTTTTTAGCCCAAGTCCTCCCTGTCTCCGTGTGGCCGGGACCTTGGGTGGGCAGGGGCCAACCTTGCTATTTAGGGGAAGTGGCTCCTCTGGGACTGGGACCCCTCTCCTCTCTGGGCCCTGGTCCCCATACCTGTGGCAATGGGAACCAGACCCTCCCTGGACAAAGGCCCAAGGGGCCCCTCCATGTGCCTGGTTCCCTCTCTGCCTTTTAGGCTGGACTTCAGACCAGGAGGCTGAAAGCGAGAAAACCAGGGTTGCAGGGCCCCAACCTGTCACCCAGTGATGCCAGTGAGAGCCCTGTGTCCCCAACTGCAAGCCGATGAACTGAAGGACTCACTTGGAAAACTCTTGTTCATCCCCCAAACCCACTTAATGTGCCATTTTCTCTGACTGGCCCTTCCCCGACACCCCAGGCAGAGCTGGTGTCTCCAGTGTCCAGGCATCGGCCTCAGAGCCCAGCTGGACCTGGCACTAAGAGAGTGACCTTTTGGGTCTTGACCCATGAGGGGCGTGGAGAGAAAACTGGAACTTCTAGTTGGGTCTGTCGTCAGACTTTCTAGCAGGTCACTTCCCAGGAGGCGAGGGGCTGAGGTCCCAGGAGGCGTCCAGCCACACTGTCACCCTGCAGAGCTACCTGGAATGACCCCTCCAGCCTGGCCAGGCTACATGGGCCAGTGCTCCAAGCTGCCCTCAGGAACGGAACAGGGAGGGACTGGCCTGCTCCCCAGCCCTCCCGCCATGGGCAAACGTGGGCTTCCTTGCCCTGGGGGACCCCTGTGCTGAGGCAGCCACTGTGCACTCCTGGCCTCTGCCTGGCTGTTTGAAGGCCAGGGTTGTCCCTACCCTACCTGAGCCTCCACTGTGAGGCTGGGAGGGGCAGGTGAGCTCCTCACCACGGTGACATCCGCCCTGCCCCACCTGGCAGAGGAAGTCCTGGGACCGGCCGGGACAGAGGGCTGGAGAGGCAGGTTTTGGACCTGGCTCACTCGCCTCCCTAGAAATGAAGGGGTCCGGGGGGTGGGGGACGGGGTAGGACCCTGCACACCAGCTCTGCTGGTCTCCCTGGAGCACGCCGACCCCAGGACGTCCACCATCCCAGAACAGGCCATGGGGTCAACTGAGCACCCTGTGGCCAGTCCCTGGGGTCTCTGGAGTGTCAGACAGGGAGCCGGGGTGCAGGCTGTGGGTGACTCCTGTGCCCCACCTGTTGATTCTGGGCCAACACTGTGATGCCCCTCACCTGTGCTCCTGAAGACACCCCTCCCACCCTAGCCAGGCATCCCCCTCCCTGGCACGGGTTGAGTCCACCTGTGGACATGTCCATGCGGTCAGGTCCTTTGTGTCAGTGGCCTGGGGCAGATGAGTCACCTCAGGCACGGCCCGGTATCCTTGCTCAGCACACATGGAGCAGGGGGCCCCTTCTCTGTGCCCTCACCACCTGCCGCCCATCGTGTGCGGTACCTCAGTGACCTCCACCCCAACTTCATGGTCCAGCAGGTGTTAAGTGCAGCCCTCAGGAAGGGGACCGGGCTTCCCTTAGGATGCCTAGGGGTCACAGGCTGCTGTGAGCCAGGCATCAGCCATCCCTGTCCCTGTGGAGGCAGGACACACTGGGCCTCCAGGCTTGGCCACCGCCCCAGCTCCCAGAGCCCAGACCTCAGCAAGTCCTGAAGGGGGCGCTGGATGGCACAGTCTGACTGCGTGGCCAACACCTGGCCTGTGTGGACAAATCGTGAGAACCTGGGAGGTGCCTTCTGCGAGGCCCAGGGAAGGGTACGAGGCAAAGGCCTCAGGTTTAGGCCCAGGGATGGGGGGGTGCAGCCAGGCTGCAGTGCGGGACACAAATGACAGCTGACCACACCCCTGGCCTTCTGCCAGAGACCACAGGACTGTGAGGGGTTCCTCTGCCACTCGCGTGGCCTCTGTACCTGCTGCTGCCCACGTGACCACACATCCCACCGCACACACCAGGACTCGGGGATCCACACCCCGCCTGGGCCCAGCCCCTTGCCTAGCAGCGTCCCTCCTGCCATCCCAAGCAAGTGACAGCCCTACCCCTTACCAGCTGTTAACCTGTAGCCCCCCAACCTCCTTTGGAGCCTCAGTTTCCCCGTGTATGGCAGATGACGTAGCTGAGAGCAGGTGCCCAGTCTGCTGCAGCAATGGACATTTGTGAGCACCCAGTCCTGCCAGCTGAGAACACGCCACAGCCCGTGGCCTTCCTTCCCCTCCCCCTTCCCTGCCACATGAAGGTGCCACCTGTGCCGTGAGCAAGGGAAGGGGGTGACTTCAGCCTTACAACTTCCTCAGGCCACGGTGGGAAGGAGCCAGGACTCCTGCGTCTGCCCCACACCACCGAGCCCGTGGTCCCCTTAACACCCATGGCATCAGGAGGTGAAACACCAGAGCAGCGGTGTGACAGACATGGCCCCCAGCCCCACTCCTTCCCAAATGGGAACATGCCACGCTCCCCACCAGGCAGCTCAGGCCTGGGCGAGGTGGCAGCACGTGGGGTAAATGGACACACTGATGGCCTTTCCCCAGCTCGAGGGCAGGGCGCTGTGCAGGTGGCAGGATGCAAGTGCCCTGCACGTGGCGAGTCACAGGAGGGCTCAAGCCCTCCCTGGCAGATGGGAGGCGCGGTGTGCGTGGCACCCAGGTGGCAGCCTCTCCATGCAGTTGCGGGGCTCGCCCTCCACCCCAGAAGCAGCCGTCTGGCTCCAGGCACCCCATGTCGGGCCAGCAGATGACCCTGCAGTGAAGACCAGGACAGCGAGCGCTCCTGAGGGTTGGGCAGGGCAGCAAGCCGGAACTGTGGGTGCCAGGATGGAGCCGGCTCAGCTGGGCATGGGCGGGCAGGCCAGGCCCAGCAGCTGAGACTGGGGGCTGTGGACGTAAGACTGCAGGCCCAGGGCGGGCAGCTGCTCAGATGCCTCCAGAGGCTGAACCTCCTGGAAGCCCGGCTGTGTGCCCACCCTGGGTCGTTTTGTGGGCCACAGTGCCCCCAGGTGGTCACAAGGGGAACAGCACCAGGGTAGAACTGCCTGAGGCTCCTGCCTCGAGCTTGCTGGGGGCATCAGGGGCACCAGAATGAGCTGGGAGATGCCCCGCACAAGGGGAAAAGGCCATTGGCTGCCCTGAGGACAGTGATGGGGCCAGCTCTGCCCCTGACAAAGGGGAGGGGAGATGCTGGGGTGCAGCCTGGCAGTGAGGGGGCCAGCACAGCTGCGGGGAGGAGGACAACACTCACAGGCGGTGCCCACACTAGCCTGGGCTTCGTCCTACCTCATTGACCAGCTCCCCGGGCTCGCTGCCCCCCCGGTGCTGACAACCAGTACTCAGCAGGCCTGGAACCACGGCCACCCAGCTGTGCCCACTAGGCCATACGCCCTGTGTCCTTGTACAGCCTGGTGAGGCTGACCCTGTGGACAGACAACTCAGGCCAGGCAGGGGCCACGCCACAGGAGGCGGCTGCTGTGACAAAGGCAGACAGCCACGCAGGCAGGAGGAGCAGGCCGGGTCCTCCACACCTGCCCATCTCCCAGGACTCCACTCGGCTCCCTGGTCTCAGCGGTGGAGAGGCGAGGGAAGAGACCTAGGGCACGCTGGCAGGGGACAAGACAGGACAGCAGACAGTCGGCACACAGAGAACTGAGCGTTTCATTTGACGTTGACCTCAAGGACATGCCAGCCTCTCCTCGCCTGGCCGTGAACCCAGAGGCACTGCAGCAGGGCCGGGCCCTAGAAGGCAGCGAGGCCTTGGTGGACGTCCCTAGTGTCAGCTGCTGGCCAGTGCTGCTCCTGGCCCCCAGCCAGCCAGCCTCAGGGCTTGAGGACGAGAGCTCCAGGACAGCTCCTAGGCTGACCTTAGTCAGCGCTGGTCAGGCTGGGCTCACATCACTGCCTGCATGTGCAGGACCCGCAAAGCCTCGGAGATCTGGGCGCTGGTGTCCACCTGGCCATACATACCCACCAGGAAGGCCCGGTGCAGCAACACGGCTGCGTGCTCTGCAAGAGAGACGTGGTCAGTGGTCAGGGTGGCCAGGCTGGCGAGGACTCCGAGAGCAGTGGGCACTGGGCGGGCGGCTCACCTTGGCAGAGCAGCGTGTACTCGGGCAGGTTCCGGAGGGCCGTCTGCACCACCTCGAAGTCCCGGCTGCCCAAGCAGTACATGAAGGTGGGCAGGAAGTCAGCCGCAGTGCTGCGAGAGATGCAAGGTGGGTTTCGCACGCCGCGCAGGGCACCAGTGCAGGCCCGTCGGGAGGCGGCGGGTGCCAGGCTTACCTGGGGTTGTTCTGGATGGAGCGCAGTGCCAGGCTGAAGGCCAAGGTGCGGCAGGACTCCTCGGCCGAGCTCATCAGGCGCTGCAGGCTTGTCTGCGCGGGGCAGGGAGACGAGTCACGGGGCGGCCTGAGGGCTCAGCCTCCCGCGCTGGGTACAGCTCCCAAGGCACGCAGCACTGCAGCCTCCTGCTCCACCCTGAGCACACAGGGCAGCACCGGCCCCAGGCCAGCCGCGGGATGACTGGGCTCAGATGGGCTCCCCTCAAGGCCCCTCTGGGCTCTTGCCAGCGCGGCCACAGCCCCACTCACCGAGAAGAACCCCAGGACCTCAGGCCTCCGTCGGGACAGCTCGTCAATGTCGCTCAGCGCCTCCAGCAGATCTGCGGGCACAGAGCAGGTGGGCTGGGGAGGGCCGCGAGGTCCTCAAGGGACCAGCCCCCCACAGTGAGGCCTCAAGCACCCCACCCCCTGGGGAACCCCAAAGCGTACCCCAAGATCTAGGGGCCCACTGGCTGTGCTTAAGCCAAGCTCAGCCCTCACCCTTCCAAGACCCAAGGCCGTCATTTGGCCCCCACTCTGGCATCCAAAGAGAGAAACTGATCCAGCGGCCCCCCCAAGTCCAGGGAGCTCTGACCGCCATCAGTGGTTCCAGCAGCCTCTCCACTCCACCACAGCATCCCCTGAGCCCTGCCCATCAGGCCTTCTGTAAGAACTGGACACTGCGGCCTGGTCCCCGTGAACACGGCAGCAGAGTCCCCTGAGCAGACGGCCCTGCCATAGGCCTGGGCGCCTGGGGGCAGCGTGGGGCAGCCGGGTGGGGCCCTCACCCTCAACCGTCCGGCCCCGGGACAGCCTCTGCATGTGCGGGACCACATCAGCCACGGTTAGTGGGGTGGACAGGGAGATGCTGACCAGTGGCAGGGAGCTGGCAGAGCACTCATCTGCAGGACAGAGAAGCAGAGGTGGGGGATGGCAACAGGCAGAGGACACCCGGGCTGGCGGCCCCAGGAACAAGGAGCACTCCAGCCTCTGCCTGGGCCCAGCACAGGGCCTGGCACGCAGCAGGTGCTCAGCGAGTGCAGTCCACTAGGCGCTGCCCTGGGGGACAGGAGCTCCTGGTTTCCTGAGGCCCACCGAGCCCAGCCGGGCCTCAGGCACCCAGGCAGGGCTGGCCCCTCTGCAGCCGAGGCCCAGTTGCTGTGCACACTGCTGAGGCTGTTGCACACCTGAGATCCTCAAGCTGTCTGGGAGCCACACTCAGAGCAATTTGGCAAAACGGGATGGAGGGTGGCCACCAGGAGTCTCAACGCTGGCCTGCCGGGGTCCTCTGCTCACTTGTCCCCCAATCACTGGTGACGTCAGAGCAGAAAACTCTGCTTTTGGGTACATGCCACCATCAGGCAGCCAGGCCAGGCAAGGCCAGAGATGGAACCGGCATGAGAACCACAGGCCAGCCAGGGAGGTGATGCAGAGGGACTGCAACATTGCCAGGGTTGGAGCTCTGCTCATCGGGCTGGCTGCGAGTGACACAGGTGAGGTCTCAGGGTTCACAATAGCCCCATCGGGATGGCTGACCTGACAGGATGTCCTGCAGCCCAGCCCACACCTGTGTCCACTCACCCTCGCTCTCTTCATCCAGGCCATGGTCAGCCCTGCTGTCCCGGCTAGGAAGGCTGAGTCCTGCCAGGAGGGACTTCAGCATCACCAGGTCACTGTTGTCGAACGACAGGTCGCTGGGGGAGAGAATGGGTTTCACCCTGGAGGACACCCTGGAGATAGAGGATGGGAGCCAGGGAGGCCAGCTGGCACCCGTGGGGCAGGGAGGAGGCAGGCGCATGGCATGGACCGGGGCAAGGGTGGGGTGGGTGCCAGCATGCAGAGGCACTACTGCGACCTGGCGGCCCTCACTGTCCAGCCAGGCAGCACACGTGGGCCTCAGGCACTCACTGCAGGGGTTCCGCGTGCTTCTGCAAGAAGGCCACAGCTGCTGGGGCCCTGCAGGTGATGTATGTGTGGATGAACTGCACGAACTTGCTGATAAAGGGCGCCAGGTGGCGGGAGGACTTCCGGTAGTTCTGCAGAGACGTGGGAGGCACTCAGCACCCTCCCGTCCCAGCCCCCCACAGTGCCCTCTGCTGACCGGCCAACACTGCACAGTGGGCTAAGGGCTCACAAGGCAGGGGGACAGGGTCACGTGGCAACACGGTGCGCTCAGCACCAGGCTTGAGAACGTGGGGTCCTCCAGGCCCATGGAAGCTGGGGGGGAGCCTCTCTATCCTGTCTGGCAGAGGTCCGGCCGGCCACCCACCAGCAGCAGGCGGATGAAGGACAGCAGGCAGTCCCACAGCGCCCCCTGGTGCTCGCTCTGGAAGACGCGTGGCTGCAGCAGCTGCAGGATGCCCAGCACGTGCAGGAAGAAGGCCAAGTGGTTCTGCTGCCGGAACTCCTGGAAGTTCAGGTGCGTGCGGCCGTGCAGCAGGGCTGCGACCATGGGCAGGTGTCTGGTGGGCAGGAGGGCTCGTGGTCACACCTCCACCCGACCCCATGCCCCACAAGACCTCATGCTATGAGGAGGAGCCAGCCCGGCCCTCGCGCTCACACGCCACTGACTGCCACCCGCAGGTGCTGTGCTTAGGCCTGGCCTCTAGGGTCAGCTGGTTCCTCCATGGCTCCTGTGCCACCACTGAGGCCGGGGCCTGATCTGCCGGGCACCAGCTTTCGGCTACAGGACCCTTAAGTTCAACGTCTGCAGTGGGCAGGACTTTGCACATCCACCGTGGACCAACTCTGCTCAGGAGAGGGGATGGCAAGGCCGCACTTGGGTATCTCCCCTGGGACAGCAGGTGGCCGGGCCGGGCTGGCCAGTACCTGAGCAGCAAGACAGGGTGGGCCACAGCCAGCTTCCGACAGGCCATGTTGGCGTCAGCCACTCGGCTCTCGGAGGAGCGAGAGTCACTGGTGTCCGCCAGGAGGGTGATGAAGCGGTGGATGAGCCCGTCCAACTGTGGGGAGGGGAACGTGAGGCCCAGGAGGCGAGGACACAGCACAGCCACACTCAGCCCCCACAGGTCATCCAAATGGTGGACATCACTCAGCAACAGAAAGGGACAGGCCATCCAGCTGTCCACGCCCACTTGACACAGACAAGCTTGAAATTACAAGCACAAGTCAGAGCACACACTGTGTCACAGTGACACACGGCTCTGCTCTAGCCACTCAAACCAAGCTCCTGCCAGGCCCAATAGTGGGCTGCACCCCCTCCTGATGATGGCAATGGTCTAGTGGTGTATCCATGTCACACGCCACACACACACGGGCAATTTCATGTCTGTCCATCACACCTGAGTGAAGGGAACAGGGCAGAGGATAGCACTCTTGTGCACCCAAGAGGGTCTTCAGGGAGAAAGACGAGGCCGGAGCAGAAAGGTGCAGAGGACCCGCACAGCTGGCCCCCACTCTAGGTACCACCACCAACTCAGGTGAGCTCACCTCAAGCAGGCCGATGCCCCCGCCCTCAGCCTTCTCCCCTCCAGGGCGCCCGACCACAGCATAAGCAGGCCTCAGGCCTCACCTTGCAGACGCTGCTGCCGGCGGCCTCCTCGCTGTGCAGCAGGACGTCAGGCGCTGGCACCCGTAGCTCAGGCCGCTGCAGGTACAGCTGCAGCAGCAGGTCTCGGCAACGCTGGCCCAGAACGCTGTGACAGACAGGCAGGCTTGTTGATGTGGATGGGGAGTAGATGGGGGGAACAACAGACCCGCTCCCAAGCGAGGGCAGCACGGTCACATTGCAAGAGGACGTGGGGGCCCAGGCACCTGTCCCCCCGCTGCTGGATGCAACCAGTCAGGTGTTCCGTCACTTTTCCGATGCTGTCCTCGTCACCACGGCAGCAGCTCAGCAGCAGAGGCAGCCGAGTCTGGATGAGGGAGCAGGCGGCAGCATCTCCTTCCTGGCTCCTGGCCTCCGCCTCGGCCAGGATCAGCTCCACCAGGCTGACCAGCTCCACGGCCTGGACACGCAGCACCAGCTCCTCCCGCCGCTTCTGCAGTCAGGTGCCCACCAGTCAGCCTCAGAAGGCTGTACCCACGCAGCCATACCACACACGGCCAGGCCACCCTCCCAAGACCTGCCTGAGGGGTGCGCTGGTCCCTGCCCTGCCAGATCCGCGGCACGTGGATGCAAGCCCAGAGGAAGTCCAACGATGCTGAGGCATCGAACCTGGGGAGGGCGCACAGCTGAACAGGGAGAAACCCAAGGGAGCCCAGGGCACAGGAGTCCTAGTGACAGGACCGACCCAGTGACGCACCATAGCCCTGCCGAGGGGACCCCAAGCTGAGTGGGTGCTAGTGACCCAGAGGACACAGGCTTTCCTGGCCCACGTCCTCCTGTGTCCCTGCCCACCCCGCAGGCCTGTCCTGGCTGAGTGTGGGGACGGGTGTTAGTGCCACACAGCGCTGCTCACACAGGCTGCTTATACCCTGGCACCCTCTCCACAGCATGCACAGCAGTGGTGGGTTCTCCACAGGTGGGGAATGAGGCCAAGGACAAGAACTAAGGAGGCTGCACTGCCCACCTTCCAGGTGCAGGAGCACGGAGGCTGGCCTGGGGTGGGTGGGCACACTCTGGACCCACCCTAGAGAGCTGCTACCCTGCAGAAGTGGCGGGAGGCCCGCACAGGTTGTGGGGTGACGGTGAAAAGCCCTCGGCCAGTGCTGTGGCTAGCCACACACACTCATCTGCACACAGCAGTAGTGGACGAGCAGGCCTCACCTCTGCTCTCGGCTCTTGCCCAGCAGGACGTGGATACAGCGATGCAGCGTGGCCCAGCTGGACTGGTGTGTGAAGAGGGCCAAGAGGTACGGACGGAAGGACGGTGCCTGGGCGCCAGTGTGACCTTTGCCCTGGGGAGGAAGGAGGCTGGGATGGTCCCAACTGGATCTGGGAACCGGCTGGCTCTGGTGAGTCAGGCAGCTGACCACATCCTGGTGGAGCCGCCGGGAAGCAGAGACTGGGGACATTTCCTGGAACACCTGGAAGCCTTCCCCACAGGGGGGCACCAGAGTGGATGTGCCCAGGCTCTGCCCACCCTCCCTGGAGAGCCATGTCCCACACCAGTTGAAGCCAGGCCCTGAGGAGGCTGCACCTCTCTCCTGCTGACCCACAGTCCCTCTGCTTTTGGGAAACTTGGGACCCTCAGATTACAAGGACTGGCAGAGCTGTCTGCCCCATCCCAAACCAGAGCTGGTCCCACAATGCTGGCCTTGAGAGATCTGTGACCCTAGAACCTGCCCTGCCCCTCTGGCTAGTGGACACTAGGTCTCAGGGCAGCAGGTCACTGGTGGACAGTCCCTGTCCATCACCACTTTACATGCACACCCTCTCCCCTGTCACCTTCCTCCGTGAGAACAGCAGCTTCCGCTGCAGGTCAGGGCAGCTGCTGACCACTTCGGGATCCAGCATCTCCAGCCAGTCCACAAGCAGCCCTGATGAGGGTCCCAGCCGCACGGTTTCTGGGCTGTGGGGAGGAGGGAGCTCAGAGAAGGGTCTATGGCCGTCCCCCACACCCAGGACCTTGGCTCTTGCTTACCTGCCACCCTCTATGTCCTGTGGCCCGGGGCCCGGGGGCTCTTCCTCCTGTAGTAACAGGGAGCACACCACGGCCACGGGGCCAGAGGCTGGGCTTGGACAGGCGGCCCCTGGCATGGCTGAGAAGAGAGCCGTCAGCAGCTCCTCTAGGTGGGGGGACCGCACCTCAACCAGGCCACGGAGCACTGTGCGAGGGAGGGAGCAGTGCTAAGTGGGCTGGCCACTGTGGGCAGGGGCCACATGTGCCGATATGTCAAGAGCAGAGCCCAGACGAGCACTCCAGGCAGGGGCGGTGCTGAGTGGGGTCCCCAGGCCAGGCACTACCTTTGCCGATGACCTCTGGCTCCATGCTGCACCGTTCCCCTGACTTCAGGGTGGCGATGACAGCCCGCACAGTGGAGCTGACTACTTCCAGGTCGCGGTGGAAGCTTAGGGCCTCAGCCAGGCGCAGGAGGCCGCTCTGCACTGTGGGAGGGAGCACTGTATGACCACTACATCAGGTGAGGCTTCTGCCCTCACTGCTCCTGGGGCCCCATCCAGCTTGCCCCCAGTCACTAACGCCAGCACACTGCCTGGAGCCCTGGCACTGCCAGGCCCCAGCGCCCTCACCGTCGCTGATCCTGTGCCTGGCTGAGTACTGGGTGGCGAAGTGCTTGAGCTGGGCCTGGAGGGGCCCGGCCTCCACAGCAGGACTCTCCAGCCACTGAAGCAACTGCATGAGCACTTTGAGGAAGAGCGAGGAGAAGCCGGTGTCCTGGGGCACACAGCGCTGTGGGGACAGGGCCAGCAGGTGGGTCTGCTGGCCTAGAACCACGTCCCACACAGGGAGGGGCCAGACTCCGAGCCCAAGGCTCAGAGAAGGTCGGGCAGGCCCCACAGGGATGACACTTCTCCCACAATGGCCTCACGTCATCCCATCTGCTGCTCAGAGCACTGACTGGACGACCTCACGGGCTGGTACCCCTGCGCTGGTCAGGCATCCTGCGGGCAACTCAGCTCATCCACCCAAGGGGAGGGATAAGGCGCGCATGCACACACGTGTACACACACCACACACACACGTACACACAAGACACAGTTGCACTTTGTGTGCACGGGCCAGGCACATCTGGAGAGACCATGGAGCCTGGGGACCGGGACATGGGGGGACCATCACTCCCTCACCTTCCAGGAGAGGTGGGGCCCTGCCCTGGGCAGCTGGCTTGCTCTTTGGAATTAAGAACCAGGCCCACAAAGGCAGCCTCGGGCATACTGGGGACAGGTCAGGCCTCAGGGTGGAGTTGGCTCTGCTCAGAGCAGAAGCCCCTCAACAGAAGCTGGGACCCCTGAGCCTCCTCTTCTCTGCTCCCACCATGCCCTCCCACTCTCTGCCCATGCAGCACCCAGGTACCTGGTACTGGTAGAGCTGGCGTATCAGCGGGCAGGACAGGAAATGGCTACGGTGCATGGCTGTGGCCAAGGCCCCACCGTGTGGGGAGCCCAGCAGGGTGGCCATGGCCTGCAGGAGGCGCACCGTGATGCCTGGCACCTCAGGGTTCCCCTGGCGGACACGGGCCAGCTCCTGGCCAAGTGCCTGCTGCAGCGCGAGGCCCAGGGGACGCAGGCTAGAGCTTGGCCAGCGTGGGTCAGGACTCAGAGGGAAGATCTGGAATGGCAAGGCAGGTATCAGTGGTCACGCAGCAGGCAGCTGAGCTCCCCATCCACCAGCTCCTGAGACAAAGCTGTGCCCTTGCCAGGTCCCCGTTTATCTTTGGCCTCAACTAAGTGGAGTGAACTGAGCAGGGAGCGGCTCTGGAAAGCAGGCATGCAGGACCTGTGTGTGGCACGAGGCTCTAGAGAGTGCAAGAGGGGCCGTACGGGGATCCAGCACCAGCAGGACTTCAAACGCCCTGAAAACCTCAGCTTCTGCTCATAGGAAGTGGGTGCTTAGGACCGTGTGAAGGTGGCCAGAGTGGGGACACATGGGCCTTCCTTCCCTCCTCCCTCCCACAGGCCTGCAGAGAAACCCAGCTGAGTGAGAGGGTGTGCCCAAGAGGAGCGGAAAGCCTCAGGCGGGCACCCATACAACGCCACTGTGTGTAGCAGCTGAGGGCGCACATGGCAGGGAGCAGCAGCTGGGGACACACACGGCAGTGCTGGTACCTGCAGAAACATGCCAGCCAAGTCGTCCTCGGGGCCGAGTACCCGGACCTGCGACCCAGCCCGCATCCTGCCCTGGCCTGGAGGCTGCTCAGGACTGCTTTTGGGTTTTGGTGTCTCCGTGCTGTCTGCAGGAAAAAGGGGAACCAGCCTGGATAAGACTGACAAGCCCCCAGTGGGGGATTCACGTAAATCTGGGGACTCGGTTCTGCACCCCACAACAGATCTGCATTCCCTAAACCTCAGCCCTCACGCAGGCCCACAAGTGGGACGGACCTGACACAAAGCCCCATGGCCAGAAGCAAGTGCTGGCCAAGGATCAGCTGAGGGGACCACGAGCAGCTGGGAGCCACGCAATGGGGCTGGGGACCAGTACCTCGCCGGGGTGGCAGCGAGGCAGTGAGCAGAGAGTGGAAGGTCTGGCCTCCGGACGCGCCTCTCTCATGCTGGACCTCGACCAGGTGGGCCATGTAATCTGCAGAGCGGGCGGCGCAGGCATGGAGGGGTGGGGTGATGTGCGGGCAAAGGGGAGCATGTCCCCTCTCCCGGAAGTGCTGGGCCAGGACCCTCACGCGTGTCCAGCAGTGCCCAGCAAGCTTCCCCAAGTCTGCAGGAGCTGAGCTGCAGGACTGCCCAGCTGGGAGAACGCTCAGAACCCCTACAGCACTCCAGCTGAGAATGAGTCCCTCTGGGGAGCCTGGGCTCTCCTGATAGCACCAAACTTGCCAGGTGCTGGCTCCTGCCCAGAGCTGTCCATGTGGTCCTACCCACAACTCACCAACCCCTGGCTATACAACTACCCATGGTACACCGTACCGAGCACTCTCCTGAGCACATCTCACTGACCCCCAGCTGCCCTCCTCCCTGCGGCACACGGACCCCGCCACCTGGCTGCCCCGCAGAGCCCTGGGCTCACTCTTGTCCATGATGTTCTGCTCCAGGGCCTGGGGGTCCTGGGCCACCGCCTGGTCCAGGTACTGGAGGAGCTTGCTCATGCTTGACACAGGAATGCCGAAGGACTGGACGAACAGCAGCAGCTGCTGGGGCTCCAGGTCCTGCAGGGCTGGGGCGACATGCACTTAGGGCCATGGTGACTGGGAGGCCACCCCCATCCAGGCCTCCACCATGGAGGGCGGCTACAGGTGTGGCCACCAGCTGCTCAGAGCTCAGCAACACCTGCAAGCCTGGCGCCCTCTCCAGCATGCGGTCACTGGAGCTTCACCTCAGGCCCATGGCTACCAGGAGCCCAGACTCCTCAAGGCAGATCCTTCCAGGGCCTCTGGGGCAAGCGTGCTCGCCTTGCCCAGGGGCCAGCGCGATGGACTGCGCTGGCCAAGCCCATCCAGCTCTGGCGGGATCCTCCTTTCCCCACTGTGACTTGCCTGAAGCCCACAAGTCCTTCAAGGACCATTGCAGAGTCCCCTGACCCCTTTCCTTCTCCCCTCTAATCCCCACCCTCTTATTTTTCCCAGGACTGATTTCTGACCTCCCAGGCCCAGCCGGGCCATACCAGCATCCACCAGACGAGGGACCTCCGAGCGGATCATACGCAGCTTCAGCCAGTCAGGCAGCAGCAGTGCCTCCTCAGAGGTGTCCACCAGGAAGGCAGTGGGCAGTGGCTGCTTCTCCGGAAACCAGATGTCCAGCAGCTCATGGAACTCACCATCGCCAGCTTGGGAAAGACGCGGTGAGAGCCTACTCATCTGGGGACCCCGACCCCAACAAGGACCTGAGACCACCCAGGGCTCCTCCTGTACAGTGGTGATCGGAGGTGGGAGAGGTAGACGAGGGCCGTGGTGGGCCACACACCGGGCACATTCCTTTACACAACACTCTCCCCTAGGGGCTGCAGCAGCCTGGCTCCAGCCCACGTACAGGGAGAAAACACGGGTTGAGATGAAGCCATTGCCTGAGGTTACCCGCCCCTCAGTGGACGTGTGACCACCAGGCCTCTATGCTCTGGGTGCAAGCTGCCTGGCCCAGCCAGCTCTCTCTGACCTCAGGCTCCACAGAGCACAGGGGACACGGCGGGCCTTCCCTGCAGTGCTTCCTGAGGGCAGCACAGTGGATGCACACCTGGGTGACCACCTCCATCTGCCCGCTAGGAGTCACCACTGCAGTATGGCACACCAAACACCCCACAGCCCCTAGCAAAGAGGTCCCATGTCCTTCCCAACTCTTGTAGACGCTATTAGGTAAGCGGCAGGGGAAGCAGGCATAGGACCAGGAAAGAGAAGGAAAGGCTGCTGGCTACGTCAGGGTCAGTCAGACAGGGTCACCAGGCTCTAGGCACTGGAGGACTTGGGCCGTCTGGATAGCCTTGTGCTTGCACCTCCACGCCAAGAAACCCCGTTTCACTGGCTGTGTGGTCACTGCCGCCTGGGCTCCTCACTCAGGAGCTGCCTCACTGGCATCTGCGCTTGGGACTGATGGGTACTCTGACACAGGCTGTCTCGGCACAGGCCCTGCGTCTCGGTTCTCAGCTTACAAGATCCTGCCCCAAAAAGGACCTGAGTGCTTGCACAAAGCACTCTAAGATGGGCGGACAGGGCGCAACGTCCACTGCACACCAGCAGCAGCCCAGGCAGTAGGAAAGGACAGGGTCAAAGCCGTGGCCGGTGCAGTGGCTCTTCCCAGACCACACACTTCCTGCCTGCCTGAAAGCAGAGAAAAAGACCCGAAGACAGACCTGTGGACCTGGTCACCACTCACCTCGGGGCGGGCCCAGCGTCAGCAGGATGACCATGGCGTGGACTACAAGAATGTGCATGGTGGCCGTCTCCCCACTCGTCCAGCGCAGGAAGACCTGGTCCTGAGACTCTGACTGACGGGTGAGATGGGAATGGGGTTGGGTGGCTCAGAGGGCCAAGACCAAGCATACCCTTACCCAGTGTGGACCCCTCACACCCTCAGCCCTCTCTGGACCTCCCCACTCCCTCACCCAGGTGTGAACCGTCGCCCCCCCCGACCCTCTCACCCCCCTCGCCCCCCTCACCCAGCTGTCCGCTCCCTCACCCTCCTCGCCCAGCTGTCCACCCCCTCGCCCAGCTGTCCACCCCCTCGCCCAGCTGTCCACCTCCTCACCCAGCTGTACACCTCCTCGCCCTCCTTGCTCTTGCGCATCCGCTGCACATAGCGAGAGAAGACGGACAGCAGGGCGCCCAGCACAGCATCAGAGGCGGCGCTGCAGGGCAGCTTCGAGAAGAGGTGTGCCATGATGGTGGAGCGCTCCACCACCAGCCGGGCCACGTCCTGGGCGGGACAGGGGAGGGGGCCATCAGGGGATTCTGCCGTGAGTGGCCCCACACCCCTCCTCCCTGTGCACCAGCCATGGTGTGAGACATGTGACCAGTTGTGCCCTGCCAGGAGTCTGGCAACTGTCACCAGCTGCACCAAGCTGACGATGGCAGGGGTCAAGCCCTCACAAGTGGACTCTCACTCCACTAGCAACAGGACACAGCCACCAAGCAGCAGGCGGGAGTGGGAGGGAAAGGCCAAGCAAGCCATCTCATTGTGGAGAGGTACAGCACTAAACAAAGGACGGGAACTTGGTATCAAACACAGGCATCACTGCCCTCCGCCCGCTGCAGCGTGGACAGGAAGGGGCTTGTGCACTGAACACGGGCATCGCTGCCCTCCGCAGTGTGGACAGGAAGGGGCTTGTGCACTGAACACAGGCATCGCCACCTTCCACCCGCCGCAGTGTGGACGAGAAGGGGCGTGTGGGAGCAGAAACCAGGCCATAGATACCACCCACAAAGAGCTTAAACAAGCACTTTCCTGACCAGAACAGAAAGGCTGCTGCAAACCTCCCAGAGGTTACATTTACACACGCCCGTGCTGACAATCCTGACCGTGAGCCACCCCAGGCCACACACTGGACCAGAGACTCGGACGACAAAGGCCTCAGTACAGGTGCCCAGGGAGGAGCCCAGGCTGTGGGAGAACAGCTTCCCAGTGACTGCCATCCAGTCCACCCCCGCACCAGACTCAGGGCCCCCATTTGTACTGGGCTGCACTGTGGCTGGGAGCAGCCGACAGGAAAGCAAGGCCAAATGCAGGAAAAGGCCACGTGAAGGAGGGAACAGGCAAATGCCAAGGCTCTAACACCCTTGGCACCAGAACCAGGCCACACCAGTACAGTGCTGGCACCTCACAGGCGGCTCAGCTTTGGCACCACATGCCCACAAGGGCCCTCCCAGCCTGAGAAGAAATACCCTGAGAAAGTGGCAGGCATCAGAGGGACCAGATAGCTGGGCCCCAGTGACCACAAAAGCCATGTGTACTGGCTCTTGCACACCACGCAAGGTCACGGCAAACAGGCTGCAGGGCAGGGAAGCCTGCTACCCGGGATGCAGCACTGTGGGCCCATCCCTCTCACCAGGGCCAGGTCGCTGTGTGGTCCCTGCTCCTCCACAGGCGTGTGCTGGGACAGGTAGACCAGGTAGGCACTGATGGTCTGGGGGTCGGTCTCCATGTGGATGGCCTGGAGAGGAGGGCAGCCGTCTGAGCTGGCTCCTAGGCCAGTGCCACCCAACCTTCCGCAGCTCTGCCCTCCCACAGCACCCCTCCCTAACTTGCCTGCTGCAGTGCCAGGGCAGTGGTGGTCCTCACACTGCCAAACAGGGGCAGCCTCGGCAGGTCCCGCAATAGCCACTGGTAGCTGTGCAGTGCATCTGGCTCCCCAGTGTCCTCCTCCATGGGTGGGTCCTTTTCCTCCCTGTCCCGCAGGCCACCCTCTGACAGCACCAGTGACAGACCCTGCAGCACACATGAGAGCAATCATCCCCTCAGCCCCACCAGAGCAGAGCACTCGCCATCCCAGCAAGGGTCTGCACCCCATGTCACCATGACGGAAACGAGGAAGAACAGTGGGCAGCAGGATCTTCATGCACTAGGTTAACACTTGTGCTGCCGCTGGAGACGGAACCCAGAGCCTCACACATGCCAAGCTCTGTCCCAAGCTGCACCCCAGCCCCCATTTGATACCGTCCAGAGACGTCACACCACAGTTTAAGTCACTTGTGGAACATCACCACCCAGAGGAGCGCCAGGCAGCACCAAGGTTCCCATCTCCTCCCTGCAACAGGGGCCTGTCCCTCTGCACATGCAGACGGGGCCATGGGACAGCCAGGCACTGACCACACACAAGGAGTGAGGGAGCAAGGGAGCGAGGAGCAGGCTGGCCACTGTGCCCACCTTCATGGCCAGTACCCTGGAGGCCACCTGTGAGGAGCCCAGGCGCCGCAGGAAGTAGTCAAGCACCTCACACGTGGTCTGCTCATCTGCCTTTGGGCCCAGCAGCAGGTCCTGCAGGCGGCCCAGCAGCTGCTGTTGCTTCTGCTGCCTCTGTGGGCAAGAGGGGCTCTGAGGACCTGGACTCTGCAGAGTGCTGGCTGATGGTGGATGGGACGGGATGGGCGGGAACCAACCTGCCGCTTCTTAGCTTTCTGCTCCCGGCTCTCACCCTCATCATCCTCCTCCCCCGAGGCTGTGTCATCTGCAGCATCGTGAAGCAGGAACTCACACAGGCACTGTACAGGCAGCACATCCAGGGAGCCCTCACTGGACTGCACCAGGTCGGCCAGCCAGGGCATGGACTGTGAGGAGGCCTAGGGAAAGAGGGCAGAGGCCCTGCTCAGAGAAGCAGGCACGACCCACCCCCGCTACCCAAATCCTCCAGGTACTTCTGAAGAGCGAGGCAGAGCTTTGCCCGCCCCGCAGCCCTTCTCCAGGCCATGCACCCTGTGCTCTGCCTGTGGCTGCAAGGCCACAGCTGGCCGAAGCTTTGGGCCCTCCCCAGCCTGCCCTGCTCCCCTCCAGGAGTGTCTCTCTGCAGCCTACAGCGGTCTGGCTCTCCTCCCGGGGCCCTCGCACACCCCGCCTGCCAGGCACACCTGCCGCTGGATGATGTTGAGGAGGAAGTCAGGGCTGCGGCTGCGACATAGGAGGTGCCCAAGGCGCAGGGACTGGTTGAGGCCCTTCACCTGATCCAGGATGTGCGGGGGAGGCCTCCGGGGGGGTCCTCTGATGGTCACGGGGACACCAGTGTCAGGAAGTCACAACAGCAAATGGCCCCCTCCCAGCCCTGCTGCTGAGGGGCCATTGAGACCCTAGGGCTGACGCCACCACTGGACTCTGCGTCTCCCAGGTAAACGTGTCAGGAACGTGAAACCAGTCATGGTGGACACTTCAGGACAGTCGTCTTTCCTCTAGCCTCCATCCCACCCAGGCCCGGCACCTGCTGCCAGTCCCAGCCCTGGGGGGGACATACTGCGGGTCCAGGCTAGTGAGCTGTGACAGGAGCAGACTGCTGCTCTCGGTGATGGTCTGCTTGGTGGAGGCAGCGGCCAGGTGGCCTTCAAAGGCCAGGATCTCCTGCTTCTCACGCTGGGAAATCTGCAGCTCCCGGTTGATCATGTCTGTGCGTGTCTCCTCGTCCGTCAGCGTACATGGCGGGTATGAGTAATTACTGGGGACAAAGTGAGCAGTCTTGTGACCAGAACCGCCACAGTGGCTCACACCAGATGACGCTTGTGTCAAGCAGAGCCAAGACAAGCCAGGCCACCGTTGCTGAGCATAGCCCGAGCTGAGAGACACCGCTGGGCCCCTGGCACCCCGGACTCTAGAAACCCAGCCCAGCTGTGCCTCCTGCACATGAGAGCCATCTTCCACATCACACCAGCCATGGCCAGACTCCCACAGTCCTCTTCAGGACACCTGCTCTGCCACACGACCATGGCCCCAACAGGCCTCCACCCACCCTGGGCACCTCAGGGTGAGACTCACTGCTCCCAGAGGCACATGTGGCTTTCTGGAGGTGCTCACGGCTCACCTCCTCTCACATGTTCCAAAATCTGTCTCCCTGTGTTCCTTCTGGGTTCTGTCCCTATAGCCCACATCCAGGCTCCTCCTCAGCCACACAAATGCTGGAGCCATGGCCGTGCACACCAGTCCCCATCGCGCACAGTCACACACACCCCATTCCCATCACACACAATGCCACAGCTAAACTGGCTTGCATCCCACACTACCACAGCCTCAGGCTCCACACCATCTTGGCACTGCCCTCTACATGGTGGCAGTGCCATCCTGGCTAGGTGGGACTCCTAGCACACAGCACACCTTCTTTGGCCCCGCATGGCACCTGTGCTGCAAGAGCAGTTGGCTAAGCTGTACTCACAGCGTCCAGCATTCTCATGCAGCTGTGCCAACTGCTGTGTGGCCACTGTGGCCAAAACAGAGCGGGACACACTAGACCTATGAAGCCCACCTGTGTGCCTGGCCCAGCCATGGCTCAGTCAGTCTGACCTGTCCCCCTCAGTCAGTGGTACAAGGGCTGCCTACCCTGTGCTGGTGGGGGCCCTGCTGCCGATAGGCTTCCACAGTACCACCTAGATTCACACTGCTCCCCACCCAAGGAAGGAAAGAGACCAACGCCAATGGACCCACCCTGGGAAACAAGTCCCGGAGCCAATGGAGCCCGGGGAAGTGGTCTGCGAGGCCAATGGAAGGCCATCTCCTACAGAGTCCAGGCCTTGTGCCTATACCGAAGCCTGGGTCACCTGGCAGGGTGGCCCTGCCCATGCTGAAGGCCGGGTCGCCAGCAGACTTACTTGGTCATCACCATCTCCATGAGCATCCTCAGCGTGGGGTACTCCTCCCACGCGGCCAGGCCTAGAGGAAGCAAAGCAGAAATGGGCCCTGCTCACAGTGTCCTCTCCTGGGCACCCACAGCATCCTCACCCACCGCACTGTCCCAGAGCCACCCTGCTCATCTAGTCCCTCAAAGGGCCTGACACACGTGGCCCGAGGGAAGACCTGGAACCTTCAGCCAGGCCCAAGTGGCAGGAGGGCTCACCAATGTTCTCTGGGTTGAATGCAGCGACCACCAGCAGCAGAGGCCAGGCCTTCCAGTAAAGCGTGGAGATGGCAAGGCTTGGGGGCTGGTACCTAGAAAACAGTGTGTCCACAGCACAGGCTCAGCTGCTTTGAGCTCAGGGAAAAGAACAGGACACACCCAAGGTAGTGATGACATGACAGACGATCACGGACTGACTAAATGAGCCACGGCTTCAGACTATGGTGTTGACAGTATGCCTCAAAATTTCCTCTCCCAGGCCAGGCACTGTGGCTCATGCCTATAATCCCAGTCACTCGAGAGCTAGAAAACGGGAGTGTCAAGTTGAAGTCAGCCTAGACAAATAGCTAGCAAGATCCCATCTCAAGCAATAAAGCTGGACACAGTGGTGCACACCTGTCATCCCAGATATGCAGGAGGCAGAGACAGGAGAATCATGAGATCTTATCCTGCAAAATAACTGAAGCAGAAGAGGCTGGAGGCGCAGCTCAAGTGTTAAGAGCACCTGCCCAGCAAGCACAAAGCTCTGAGTTCAAACGTCAGCACCACCAAAACCAAACTTCTCCTCCCAGAAATCTACCTCTAGCCACACCTGTCCCGCTGCAAAGGCACACACATGAGCAGAGTCCCCAGGCTCCTGCAGGGCAGGGCAGGCAGGGCAGGACCCAAACCGCTCTCAGCAGCTCCGGGCCTCGTGCCCATCCACTAAATGGGAAAATGGGAAAAACGCAGATCAAGTAATAGATGCCCTACAAGTGCTGCTGACCATCCTATTTTTCTCGTTCTCTCTCTCTCTCTCTCTAATAGATGCCCTACAAGTGCTGCTGACCATCCTATCATTCTCGTTCTGTCTCCTTCTCTCTCTCTCTCTCTCTCTCTCCCTCCCTCCCCCCCCACTGGGGTTTGAAGTCAGGGCTTCGTGCTTGCGAGGCAGGTGCTCCACCACTTGAGCCTCACCTCCGGCCCTTTCTGCTTTACTTATTTTTAATAGGGTCTGGCACTTTGCCCAGGCAGGCCTGGACTGCCATCTTCCTATTTATGCCCCCACAGAGCTGAGAAAACTGGCATGCACCACGATGCCGAGCTTACTGACTGAGAAGAGGTCTTGCTAACTTTTTGCCCAAGCTGGCTTTGAACTTTGATTCTCATGATCTCTGCCCCAGCCCAGAAGCTGGAATTACAGGTAGAAGCCACTGCACCCAGCCTTATCACTCTCATTCTTTACTAGAAAGTTAGAAACCCACTATCCATCGAGGTGCAATTTTAACATTTAAGAGTCACACCCAAGCATAGTTAAAGCATGTCCTTACAGAGGAAAGGGATTCAAGCTGTTAGAAAGAGCGAAGAAGTCGGAGATGCAGACTCTGTCCAGTGAAAATCACGAAGGAAGACACAGAAAGTCCACTTATCACAGCACCAGGAGCAAAAGGCTTAGGCAGAAATCTAACCGAAGATTGTTTACGTGAATCTAAGTAAGACCACAAACCATCATCTAAAGAGATTAAAGATGAAGTAAATGCAAGCACGTCTACAACACCAGCACTGGGAGGCTAAGGCAGGAGGATGTCAAGTCAAAGGCCATCCTGGGCCACATAGTGAGACCCTGTCTTAAACCCAAACAAAAGAACCCCACATGTCATTTCTGCAGAGACTGTGAAGCTGACCCCAATCTTCCAGGAGATGTGAGCGCTCAGAACTAACAGGGCTAGAGGACTCGGCAGGGCAGCTTGAGGGTAGAGTGTGGGCAAGTGGGCACGAGGCTACGACTTCACCAAATCCAAGCGAGAGGACGCACCTCCGATTTCAAAGCTTAGTAGGAGTCCTACAGGCACAGGACAGACGTGGGGTTGAGGAACCAGAAGTGAGAGTTAGTCCACGGAGAATCCCTGACACTCGTGCTCACCCCGACACTGACCAGGGTGCCTTCTCAGCACGGAAACCACGCGCAAGAATGAATCCAGAAGCTGAGTGTGGAGGTGCCCGCCTGTAATCCCAGCACTGGGGGGCTGAGGCAGCAGGATCACAGATTCAAGGCCAGACTGAGCTACGCAGCAAGACTGAATCAAAAGAAAAAACGGTGAAGCTGAACTCCCGCCTCCCAGAGAGAGAGGCACCCAGAGAACTGGACACACACGGCCAACTGAACTGCCAGGAGCTGCAGTGACAGAACTCCGAAGAAAACAGGAAATTGTGCACAAGCCTCAGGTCCCGCACGAAGACAGCAGCATGACAAAGAGAAAAAACGAGGTCCTTGGCCTCAGGAGCCTGTGCACAGAGCTCACGGGGTGGGGATGACAAGCACACATGGACACGAGGGAAGGGACAGGCTTCCCACAAGCGGTGCTGGGAGGACAGAACGAGAGCCCTGCCAGAGCAAGCGCCCAAATCTTTGTGACTTGGACCAGGTGGTGTCTTAGCTTTAACACAGAAGCACAGAAACCAAAGGAAAACGGATAGAAGCTCATCGAAATGCAAAAAGCCTTTGTGCATCAGCGGCCGCATCAGGAGAGTGGAAGGGTGGCCTACAGAAGACAGGCCTGCAAGGGGCAAGCGGAAATAGTTCTTCAACCCCAACGACAAACATGCAAACACCACAACTAAAAGCCAGCAAAGCACCTGGACACACAGTTCTCCAGAGCACAATGAAACCACGATGAGACCACCTCCACCACACCACTGAGCATGCTAGAGTGCCCACATGGACGGGAGGCCAGAGCCCGCATGGAGCAGATGACAACAGATAACGGCACAGCCCCTGTGGGGAACTCCACAGTCCTGCACTGAGCTGCACATGCAGCCAGCAAGGCCAATCCCAGGCGCCAGCCAGAGAGACTGGAAACACATACACACAAAAACTTGCATGCAGTATCACAGTGGCATCATCGCAACAGTCAAACAGTGGGCACAACCCAAATGTCCACCTGCCAGTGAGTGGCCAGTGAGTGGCTAAAACAACACAGCCCCACCCATTCCCAGAAAGTAGCTGGAACCAGCACCAGCCACACACGGACGGACCCTGCACATGCCGAATGAAGAAGGAAACCAGGGCGGGGCCCAGTGGCTCATGAATGTAATCCCAGCTACACAGGAGGCAGAGATCAGGAGGATCGTGGTTCAAAGCCAGCCTAGGCAAATAGTTCCTGAGACCCTATCTTGAAAAAAATCCATCACAAAAATGGGCTGGTGGAGTGGCTCAAGGTGAAGGTCCTGAGTTCAAACACCAATACCACCAAAAAAAAGAAAAAAGGAAAAGAAAGGAAGAAAGGAAGCCAGGCTCGCAAGGTCACAAGTCCTACGGTTCTATTTAGGTGCAATGTCCAAACAAGGAAATCTATGGAGACCAGGGCAGGGTGGCCACCCTAAACACCGAGTCATCACTTGGGGTGTTTGTTAAAAAGCAAATTGCAATTCAAAAGGGAACACAGCCTCACTACCATCTAAAAATAAGCAGGCATTTGCTAACTAACAGGAGAAGTGCACACGAGGCAGACGGCAGAGACACGGGAAAGGCAGCCGGGACAACAGGAAAGGGGGCCTGGTGCCAGGTCCACATGGGCAGGCTCTGTGGGGACCGTAGTGTGGCGGGACCGGCTGCGGACCTTACCCAGGCGGAAGCTGGATGTTCTCGGGGTGGTGGTAGGTACACAGGTTCAGCACGGCGTCGATCAGCTGAATTCGCTCCACCTTCAGCACTTCTACATCTGAAACCCAAAGCCGGGGCTCCAGAGCCACTCAGGCCCATTGTCCAGGTCACGAAGCGAGGACAGGAGCCTTGCTCCAGACTGTCATGGACAGCAGCACTGTCTGCCCCCACAGTGCAGGGGCATGAGAGCCCATGGGGGTCGGGAGTCCAGAGCAGGGGAGAGCCCTTGGGTCACAGCAGGCCTCAAGGCCAGGCTGCAGGCATCATGTTTAAGATCACTCTACTGGCCTGGAAAGGAGACAGGCAGAGGCTCCTGCGGGGTCCCCCACAAGACAGTGGGCAAACTCCAGACAGGGCAGGACTGAACAGCTATGAAGGCATTTGGGGACACCAGGCCCTCAGCCTCCTGGAACACCCACGAGCGGAGGGTGTGACACCGGCCTGAGGACCCAGGCATGTGCTGCTGCCCAGGTGACCTTGGTGGGGTGAGGGACAGGGCCCAGGCTTCTGGGGCACCATCACTGAGGGGGCCAAGGGGCCATTACCATCTGCCTGCACGGCTGCGGCTCGCTTCACCAGGTGGTCAGCAAGCTCCATGGCATCCGCCGGGCCGAGCGGGAGCTCACGGGACAGCCCGATGACCAGGATACGCATGAGTGTGTCCTCCAGGATGGGCACCTCCGAGCACAGGCGCAGGAAGAAGCTGCAGGCGGCATGGGCAGGGGCTGGCTCGGCGGGGGCCCTGGCCAGAACTCCTGGGTCCTGTGCAGGGCTGAGGCCGGCAGCCAGGCTCCTGAGGCCAGCAGAGGCGCAGGTCTCCTGCCCTCGGGCCCACCCTCTTCCCCTAGTCTCTAAAGGGCAGGGACAATGCAGGAATCCACTCCTCTCCTCAAACTTTGGTGGCCACACACAGTCCTGTTCCCCACATCCACATGGTGCAGCTCTCTCTGTCATCCACGGGGGCTTTGGGTGGGCAGAGACCACCGGCAGCATGTCAGAGTGCACAGGGCACAGTGGCTGGAGCTAGCAAACTGGACTGGGTGGCAGGACTCAGGGATGGGGCGTGATCCAGAACACGTTCTGATGGGCGCCAGCGGGTCAGCTACCAGGCAGTGCCTGTGGCACTGGGGTGTGAGTCGGGTGCACAGGCAGCCTGTGGGTACAGGCTCTGGAGGCGACGGGGGTGGGGGAAGAGTGCAGACACAGCACCCAGGGCTCCCAGGACAGGGCCACTTAGAACAGCCCCCACAGGCTTCTCACTTGCGGTCACTCTCAGGCGGCCAGTTGTCCCATTTGTAGTAGGTCTCGGGCTGCTCTGTGAAGAGCACCTTGTGCAGGCTGTGGAACAAGCAGGGCCATCAGGGGGGTGCAGCAGCTCAGGGCCACCTCCTCCCCACAATCCCCGACACGAGAGACTCAGACAAGGCTGGTGATGGCCAGCTGCTCAGGGACCACGTGGCTCCACTCGCATGGCTGAGGGCAGCAACTGAGTGTTGTTCAGTCACTGTGAGGAAGCACAGCTCAGCAACATGGCCCTGGCTGCAGCTGCCACGGTCAGGGACCCTGCGTTCCTTAGAGCAAGGACTGCGGCTGCCTGCCAGCATCTCTGGCTCTCAGAGTGCTGGTGGCCACGTCTGAGGGATGAGGTCCTGTCTGGGAACCCTGATACTTGTGTGGAGGCAGAGTCTGGGAAGGTGGCACCCCAGGCGAGGACAGGGAGGTGGCTGTACCAGTGCACGTAGTCCTTGGGGGCGAGCTTGCTGATGGAAGGCACCACAGTGTGAAGCCACCAGACAGCATCACGCTGGATCGCGGCAATCTGGTTCTGGAAGGCGCGCAGCACCTCGAGGTCTGTGGGGTGCTAGAGTCAGTGGTGCTAGTGCCCACCCCGACTGGCTGCAGCCCCCAGCAGACCAGGGGACTGGCACTGTCCACCTCCCTGCCTGCCTGCCATGGAAATGGCCACTATGGACCCCACAGCTCCAGTGTCTAAGAACACGGACTCTGGAACCGGTCACCTCAGCCCAGATGACAAGAGATGGCCACTTCAGGGACTCCCAGTCTCCTCTAGTGGCTGTGTTGAGACTGTCCCCCCACATTCCCTGTGCTGGGCCCCCAGGGACAGCCTCAGCCACCCGAGCCTGGGCCTGGGCCTGGGCCTGCGGTCTTACTCCTTTTCTCTCCTTTGTCCCAGGCGATGCCGGCCTCCTTCACCTGAGCCGTGATACCTAGCATCATGGACACGGCCAGCACATCGGTGATGTGAACCACAAACCGCTCCTGCAGGCACAGCACAATGGGACTCGCACCGCACCCAGGACAGGCAGACTCAGATTCACGCACATGTAAGCACACACACACACAGAGACACACAGACACGCAGACACGTGTATGCACAGAGACAGACATACAGAGACAACACAGACAGACACGCAGACACACACACACACACAGTCACAAGGAGTCCCAACAGGGCCCAGGAACCACCAGGCAGGCAGGAGCAGGTCTCGGGGCCCTGGAGCGGCTAAGCAAGATCCTAGTTAGGCTACTGGGAGGAAGCCCAGTCAACAGAGCTGGCTGCAGTTCTGTCCAAATAGCAGACTACCACCTGCTATTGGCCTACTGCCACGCAGTTTCCAGGCCCTGGAGTCCCTCCACCAGCTGTCCAGCCTCCTCTTCAGTGTCAGCTCTCTGCAACCCCACCAGCTACAGCTCTGTCCACAGCAGCTGAGGATGCCAGCTTCCCAGCACATGGCCGGCCCATCAAGACTCTGCTAAGATCTCACTCAAGCACAGGCGCACCCTTCGAGGAGACAGAGCTGTGCACATGGCCCAGGGTGACGGGGGTGACGGGGGCAGAGGAGGGCACCTTGAACTCCATGTCCAGGTGCTGGGGCTCCCGGCGCTCCTGCATGAGCCCGAGACAGAAGGCCTGGAAGTTGACCTCATGCTTCGTCTGCTTGATAATCTCACGCAGCAGAGCTCGCGACGCCCTCAGGTAGTCATCCTTGTTGGTCAGCAGGTCCTGGAACACCATGGCCAGAAACTGTGACAGACAGGGACCACCGAGGCACAGTGATCAGTGGCCATCCGAGACGAGCAATCCTGCCACGTCCCGCGTCAGGGCCTCACTCCGCCCCGCAGGAGGCTGCTCCACACCCGTCCCAGCAGAAGGTCCGCAGGCTCCCACGCAGCCTGAGCACAGGTGCCTGCCTCGTGCTGACTCTCCTGGCAGCTGGCACACGGGTGGCCAGTGCTCAGCAAGGGCACAACAAGCCACCTCAGCCTCCACCCAACCTCCTAGGAAAACAGAGCCGAGACCCAACCAAGCTCCTCTCAAAATGATGTCCACACAGGTGACAGGCTGGTCAGCAGACCTGCAGGAGGCTGACACACAAGCCGCCCAGAAGACTGACCGGCCTTGCCACAGTAGGGCTTCCCCAGATCGTTCTGGCCGAGGAGACCCCCAGGCCAGGGCCGGAACGCTATGAAGCCTCCTACTGGACCTGGGGAACCCCTGCCCAGGAGGGCAGCGAGAATGGCAGTGCGGGACACTGGTGACTCTGAGGTCCCCGTGCTGCTCCCTCAACAGTTTGCTTCCGGGGGTGGACGGAGGCCAATCGCGAACAAGGTTCAGATGCTCTCCTGCCCCGAGCCTGTGCCCTCTATGTGCGGCCCCCGTCCCCATCCACATGGTGACAGGGCCCACCTTGGGTGCCAGCTCGGAGCTGTGCTGCAGCGCAGTGTGCAGGACCTGCATGTTGTTGGGGTTACGGGCGTTGGAGAGCTCGTTGAAGATCACGAACTTGATGGTGGTGCCCAAGTTGTCCTTATGCGCATTCAGCAGCTCCCTGGACATGGAGCCGGAACGTGGGCAGGGGCACAGCACGAGCCCGGCTGCCGCCTGCCCCTGTGCCCCACCTCGGCTGCATACCTGACACAGAGCATGTAGTGGTTGAGAAGGACCTTGGGCTTGAGGCGGATCTTGACCAGATGGGAGATGACGTCCGTGTCCTCCGGGCCGTGCGTGCTACAGTTCACGCACACAGACATCAGCAGGTCCTGTGCTGGCCTGGTCAGCTGCAGGAGGTGGGAAGGGCCGTGGGTGACACGAAGCAGGCAGGAGCAGGGGAGGCACTGCCCGTGGTCCTGCCTGCTGCCGCGGCCCACCTTCGGGTTCTGCAGCCACATCTCCAGCCGCTGCACGGCCAGCAGCCGCACCTCCTTGTAGCCACAGGTGGAGGCGAGCAGCCGCAGCAGGTTGCGTGACACGCTATCGATGGGCTGCCGCCGGTTGAGCTGGTCCCTCAGCACATCCAGTACGTACTCCTCCACGCTCTCCGCGAGGTCATCGTACCTAGGCCAGAGTGGGGAGGAGGCAAGGAAGGAAGCTACTCTCCAACCCTCCCCACTGGCCACCCAAGAGCTGGGTCCTATGGCTCACCTACCTGGGCATGAGCTGGCCCTCCTGCTCGGGGCTCAGCTTCTCCTCAGCAATCAGCAGCTCCGTCTGGCTATCCTCCTCCTCTGTGAGTGAGGGGTGGGGACTGCTCCCTACGAAGCGTGTGGACATCCCTTGGGCACCTGCCCCACCTCCCGGTTGGACACCCTGCTCTACCCCCAGCCCAGCCTGGCAAGGTGTCTCACCAGCCCCGAGGTCGCCCCCACCACGGGCCCCCTCCCCCTGCAGCAGCATGCTCTTGGGGGGCGCCCTGGTGTTGAACGCTGTCTGGATGTTGTCCACGAAGGTCCTGCAGTGCGGGCTGTCCACCCAGATCCGCTCCCCCAGAGAGTCTTCAATGTACACCTATGAGGAGCCACACGTTCACACCCTGAGCCTGTCCCCACCTCAGTGCAGGAGGGGCAGCGCTGTTGGCTTCTTTCTCCTGCTTGTCCCTGGTGGTCCTCACTCCCTTCTCTCACCCCCTGCCTGTGGCACTCCGCTCTTCAGCACCGGGACAGACACCCAGCAAGACCCAGGACAGGTGACTCACCTTGACAAAGATCTCAGGCCAGTTCTCATCCTCCTCGTAGGCAGCCATAAGCAGGTTGCAGGCCAGCACGGACACCAGGCTGTTCCCCTTGGCCTTGAAGCTGATGGAGGCGTCTCTCCGCAGAAGACTACACAGAGCCTACAAGGAGGTGCCAGTCACAGACCTGTCATGGCCACCCTGATGTGGGCGTGCAGAAGGCAGCGTGGAGCAGCGATCCCAGGTGGCCAGCCTTACTTCAATGACGCCCTCAGTGGCAAAGATGTTGGGCTTGATCTTGGCCAGGTACATGAGGCTCAGGTACAGGGTGCTGTCTGGCTTGGCCCGCGTCACCTTGAGCTGCTTTGCTGCCCCACACAGCACGCCCTCGATCCTGTCGTCATTGCCCTCCAGCTCGGCAGCTTCAACCTCGTCCAGCAGCACCGTGGGCAGAACTGGCCCGGAGAGAGGACCAAGTTAGCCATCAGAAGCCCACAGGCAGGCCTGGCCAGCGCTCCATCGCTATCAAGCAGCTTCCCCAAGGGGTGCAGGAGGGAGGGCCCACAGTGGACGAAAGCTGCACACCCCAACTCTGGCTTTCCCTACAGTGCCTGCAGCGCCACACCAGAGCCCTGTGCTCAGCCGATGCGCTATCTTTCCCACGAGTCTGTCACTTTGCAGCCCGATCTTACCTTCAATTGGCACTACGGACGGTTCCTTAATGGAGGGAGAGATGGCTCGCTTCTCCGCAACTGCGGCCTCAGCCAGGCGCCCCAGGGCACTCAGCGGGGGTGTGGAGGGGAGCTTAGGGCGCTTGGCAAGGCCGGCCAGCGAGGCACCAGGCAGAGCAGCCGAGGCCTCCCGCTTACGCTCGAGGGCAGCCCCGGAGCAGTCGGCTTCAGCAGGGCCGATGCGGTCTTCGACTCGCCCGCCTGACCCTTTGAGCCAAGGGCAATAAAGTCCCCAGGCGGAGGGTGCCCTGCAAAGGAGACAGAAAACGTGCACATGTGCAAGGCTGGCCAAGGTGGAAGAGCTCCCCAACCCGTTAACCTCCAAGGAAATTAAGTGAGGATCAGAGGAGGCAAGAGTCAGGCCCGAAGTCACTCGGCAAGTCTCCTGCAGATCCAGGACCCGCGTGACGTCGACAGTGATGGCTGACGTGCAGGGGTGCTGACGACACTGACTACAGTCAGGCCAGCTCTAATTCTCCAGGCAGTCTGCTTCTGCTTCACCCACGCGAGGTTCCTGAGAGCACAGATGCTAATGACCCTCCTCACAGGCGAGGGAGACCTAGAGGTCAGGCAGGGTGCCGCGCCACACAGCGAGCAAGTGGCAACTCCAGAACCAGAATCCAGGTCACCTGACACCATGCCGCCTTGGGATGCTGAGCTGAGCCAAGTGACCATGTCCTGTAGGAGCCAGGGCTGCTGGGCTCCCCAGGCCTGGATGACCAGCGTCCTCGGACAGGACTGCAGCTGCCTGGCTCCCGGGTCTGGATGATCAGTGTCCTGCGGGAGACCACGGCTCCCAGGCCTGGATGACCAGTGACCCACAGGACGAGGGCTCCCAGATCTAGATGACCACTGTCCTGCAGGACCATGGCCGCCCGCCCCCCCCCCCGGGACCCCGCGCTCGCCGCCCCCGGGTGGCCCGCGCCCGCACGCGCACCGCACCTGAGGGCTTGGCCGCGGCGCTGGGCCTCCGCACGGCGGTGGGCTTGGCCCGGTTCATCCTGCCCGCGGCCCTCGCGCTCCGCGCCGCACAGGCGTCACCTGGGAGGGGGCGGCAGGAAGTCACTCGCTCGCTCATTCATTCGCTCGTTCTCGCCGCGCAGGCCGGGGCCGAGCGCACCCAGGGCCGTCCGCGGAGGACGCGGGTGGGGGCGGGGCCGCGGCGACGCTCGGCGACAGCGGAGAGCCGGGCACCACCGGCCGGGACGGGGCATCCAGGGCCGCAGCCCACTTACCTCCCGCTCATGTCTCGGGAGCCTCCCAGACGCGGCTGCCCCGGAAGTACAAAGGGATCGCAGGGCACTCGGAAGACCGATTTCCGGTAGACCCGGAAGTAAAATTGTCGGCGTGGGGAAGGAAAAGCGAGCAGAACGAGCGGGGCAGCGCATTGCCTGTAGCGCCACCTCATGGCTGGAGACGGGAAAGACGGGTCAGCGCCTCACCCACCCACCTTCAGCAAGGCAGGCGTTGTTTTTGCAGAAAAAGGATGTCGTTGTTTGAGTGACACATGGTCAGGCATGCTGAAACCATTGGACGGCCTGGCGGGCAGAGCACACCTGGTTGTCACACCTATCTGAGACAGCTGACCCCCACCACGCCCAGCAGACAGCTGTGCCCCAAGCAGGACAAGGACAGGGAGTAGAGTATTTTGCATCCAGGATCTCATTTTGATTTATTTTATTTGTCTTTGTTTTATTTTACTTCAGACAAGGTCTCACTATGTACCCACGCTGGCCTGGAACTCTCCATCTGCCAGCCTCAGCCTCCTAAGTGCTGGGATTACAGGCGTGCCCTACCTTGCCACACATCGCTCATGCTCTTCAGAGACGGTAGACGCCTGCTTAGCAAGCACGAGGCCCTGAGTTCAAACCCCAGTCCCACCAAAAAAAATAAACAAATACCATGTACCTCCCAGCTCTGCCCCGTGTCTTCCCTGGAGCCAGCACTTTCCTGTGTCTGAGTCATCCTCCCTGCGTGTCCTGTACTCACTCCAGCAATCACAGGTGTGTTTTTACCCTGAAAAAACACACAATTCTTATCTGCCCATGTTTTTCTCACCTAATCCCACATCTTCCAGCAGTGGCCACAGCTCTGGATTCGAGTCCCACCTCTGCAGCCACCTCAGTCCACTTTAACTGTCCACTGGGAGGAAGGTGTGGCCATGAATGCCACCAAACACAGGCAGTGTGTGACTTCTGGGCTGCTGCTTCAGAGCCAGTGGCACCCAATGCTGTGAGGACCACACAGGGTCTCCTGACGACCTTGTGCCAGAGCATCCTGTGTCGTGGGTGCATGCACAGTGAGCCCAAAAACACCAGCACCACCTGAGGAGGGCCTGTCTCCCTCAGCTGCTCAGGCTACACGCACAGAGTGGCTGCACACAGAGTGTACGTGTGTAGGAGTGTGTCCAGGCCTAACACTAACCCTAACCCTAACCCTAAACATAACCCTAGCCCAACTCTAACCCTAACCCTAACCCTAGACCTAGACCTAGCTATATCCCAAATCTAATTCTAACCCAAACCCTAACTTTAAGCCTTACACTAACCCTACCCTAATACTAAACATAACCCTCACCCTAGCCCTACCCTAACACTAGAGCTGCACAGCATAGCCCTAACCCTAACCCTATCAACAGTCACATCCATAGCCCTAACCCTAGCCCAGTCCCTAATCCTACACCTAGCCATAGACCTGATGGAGGAGATGGAAGAGGAGGAGGAGGAGCAGGTGGAGGGGGTGGAGGAGGAGGAGGAGGAGACGGAGGAGGAGATGGAAGAGGAGGAGATGGAGGAGGAGGAGATGGAGGAGGAGGAGATGGAGGAGATGGAGGAGGAGGAGATGGAGAAGGAGGAGATGGAGGGGGAGGAGATGGAGATGGAGGAGGAGATGGAGGAGGAGATGGAGGAGAGGAGGAGGAGGAGATGGAGGAGGAGGAGATGGAGGAGGAGGATGAGAGGAGGAGGAGGAGATGGAGATGGAGGAGGAGATGGAGGAGGAGATGAGGAGGAGATGGAGGAGGAGATGGAGAGGAGGGATGGAGAAGGAGGAGATGGAGATGGAGAGGAGATGGAGGAGGAGATGAGGAGGAGGAGGAGATGGAGGAGGAGGAGGTGGAGGAGGAGGAGATGGAGGAGGAGGAGGAGATGGAGGAGGAGATGGAGATGGAGGAGGAGATGGAGGAGGAGATGGAGGAGGATGATGGAGGAGGAGATGGAGGAGGAGGAGATGGAGGAGGAGGAGATGGAGGAGGAGGAGGAGATGGAGGAGGAGGAGATGGAGGAGGAGGAGGAGGAGGAGGAGATGGAGGAGATGGAGGAGGAGATGGAGGAGGAGATGGAGGAGGAGATGGAGGAGGAGGGATGGAGGAGGAGGAGATGGAGGAGGAGGAGATGGAGGAGGAGATGGAGGAGGAGGAGATGGAGGAGGAGATGGAGGAGGAGGAGATGGAGAGGAGGAGATGGAGATGGAGGAGGAGATGGAGGAGGAGGAGATGGAGGAGGAGATGGAGGAGGAGGAGGAGGAGGAGATGGAGGAGGGGAGATGGGGAGGAGGAGATGGAGGAGGAGGAGATGAGGAGGAGGAGATGGAGGAGGAGGAGATGGAGATGGAGGAGGAGATGGAGGAGGAGATGGAGGAGAGATGGAGGAGGAGGATGGAGGAGGAGATGGAGAAGGAGGGAGGAGATGGAGGAGGAGAGGAGATGGAGGAGGAGATGGAGGAGGAGATGGAGGAGGATGGATGGAGGAGGAGGGATGGAGGAGGAGGAGATGGAGGAGGAGGAGGAGATGGAGGAGGAGGAGGAGATGGAGGAGAGGAGATGGAGGAGGAGGAGGAGGAGGAGAGATGGAGGAGATGGAGGAGGAATGGAGGAGGAGATGGAGGAGGAGATGGAGGAGGAGATGGAGAGGAGGGGATGGAGGAGGAGGAGATGGAGAGGAGGAGAGATGGAGGAGGAGATGGAGGAGGGATAGATGGAGGAGGAGATGGAGGGAGGGAGATGGAGGAGGAGGAGATGGAGGAGGAGATGGAGGAGGAGGAGATGGAGGAGGAGGAGATGGAGATGGAGGAGGAGATGGAGGAGGATGAGATGGAGGAGGAGATGGAGGAGGCCTTACATTTGCTAGGCAGATGCTCTACCATCTCCTCCTCCTCCTCCACCTCCTCCTCCTCCTCCTCCTCAGGAGTGGCCCCTTTGAGCCCTGCCCGGGGCAGTCAGCCCCAGTGGCCCCCAGAACCCGCCAAGGCCAGAGGCCTGCGGCTGCTGTGGTCTAACTGCCCGAGTCCAGGAAGCAGCTGTGTGCTTGTGGCTGGGCCTGGTTGGGGGGTGGGGGGAGCGACAGTGTCCCCAGGGCTCAGAGCTCCCTGCCTGGGCCCAGCCATTCCAGCTGAGACCAGGTCTGGCACTTCTGTCCCTCCCGGGGCCCTTGGGGACATCTCACTTTGTCACTCTCCCTCAGGGCCAAGTCAGCCCTTCTTCCACCAGCCCTGCAGAAACCTCACCATGTCTGGGCCCCAAAGGCAGGCCCTGTCCCTGTCCCTACCAACACAGCGAGATATGGGAAGCCGTTGGACTCGGGACCCCAGGGGTCCCTGGACTGCAGGGAGCGGGGCATGGTTGTCCTGCCACCCACCCCGTCACCTCCTACAAGAGACGCAGCTGCTGAAGGGCAGTGGCCGTGGGCAAGGGAAAGGGTGTGGGAGGTCCAGGCCACATGTCCTCACATCCAGCCGCAGACCTCCGGCCTGGCCTGCGTCTCCTCTTAGGTCAGGGCCAATGCTGGCCTCGGGTCACTACGGTCCTTGGGTCATTTCCTCAAAGCTCTCCCTCCCTGCTGTCTAACACAGACAACCGAGGACTCACCGTGACACTAAAACCAGTGTCCTCTCCTCCAAGGGCGTTGTCTGTCCCTCACTCCATCCAATGGTCAAACACTGGCTCTACCTGACACACACTGCTAAACCCCCATCCTGGCCTCCCCACCTCTGAGCCGGCCACCACTGGGCACTAGCTGAGCCAAAAACCTCACTTTTTAATTGTTTTTGGTAGTACTGGGGTTTGAACTCAGGACCTAACACTTGCTAGGAGGGTACTCTACCACTTGAGCCACTCCACCAGCCCTTTTCTGAGATGGGTCCTTTCGAGATCGGGTCCCGAGAACTATTTCCCGAGGCTGGCTTGCAACCTCAATCCTCCTGATCTCTGCCTCCTTGAGTGGCTGGGATTACAGACGTGAGCCACGGCACCTAGCAAAATAGCCATTTTATTACTTTCACCAGGGTGGGTGGGGTACACCGAGTAAGGAGGTCACCCCTTCTTTCCATACCTTGCATGTCCTGCGGCCTCCAGCCTGGCCACCACAAACGCGGGTCAGGGATACCAACCATAGCAGACCCGTGTCTCTACAGTCACGGTCATCTGGAGTGACGTTGATCCGCATCTGCCGTGGGTGAGTGCTGCCCAGAGCTGCCTCCCCTCGGCCTCTGCTAACCAACAAAGATCAGTACAATGTGGTGGGCCAGGCCTGGCGACGTTTGGTGTTGAGTTTTGGCTCACCATTTATGGACTGTGGTATCAGGCAGGCCGTCTGTCTGGCCTCAGTTTACTTACCTGGCAAATGGACACTTGGTGGCCCAGGGAGTGACCGAAGCCCTTGCCCACTGACTTCAGAAAACATTTCCAACACAAGTGAAGTCTCAGCCCCCAGTGACCGGGTCTCAGAGCCATGTGGGGACTCAGGTGTCCATGTCCCCCTGGGGGCAGCTTGGCGCCACCTGTGCTCCAGGGAAAGGTGGAGAACTGCCATGCTGGATACCCTGTGTGGTGACAGCAAGTCCTCATCAACTGGTGGCCAGGAGACCTGCACCCAGCAGCCTCTACGACTGACACTTGAGAACCGCCAGGCAGTGAGCCTCCGGCCCTGGGCAAACCCTGGCCAGAGGACGGAAGCCCGGGGAGGCAGCACGGGCTGGACACTGAGACACACTTTCCAACAATTGTCTGAAAATAGCCTGGTGGCTCACGAGGAAATGGGTCCTTGTCACGGGGAGGGACGGCAGGGGCAGGGCGGGCAATCG